TGATACCTCCAAAGACGACAGAAATGCAACGTAGTGATTTTCTTAATTATACGGCAAAATAATACCCTTCCCTCAAGTCCACTAGTCCCTGAAGATCTAGAGAAATTATATTTTTGCAAAATCTGAACATGGCCAGAGAATTTAATGAGATAATCCCTCCTCCTGATCTAGTCTAACCCACATTTCAATGCCAATTAATTATCCATTAGTTTGCATCAGCCTGGTTTTCCATTCTATCAGAAGCATTTTAAAATTATTCCTCTCTTCTGATTCATTTCCTTTCATTCCCTGTTTTATTATCTTCGTATTTTTAAGAAATTCCTTTTTCTTTTACATCTTCTAGAATTCATAGGATTTTAATTTTGTTGTTGTTGTTTTAAAGAGAGATGATAAAAACGGGGAATCCACAAATAACCTGCACTTCAAATATGTACAAAGTTCAGATTCTAAGACAGATGTGAAGAACTGAGTATTCCCATTTAAATTATAAAATTCCTATCTTGGTCTATTGCTTAGAGCAGGGCTTTTCAACCAGTGGTACGAGTACCACCTGTGGTACATTGGCACCTGGCAGGTGGTAACTGTGAAGAAGGTTGGAGCTCCTTGTGATCCTCATGATTCTCATTGTTGCCATGTGAGTGAACAGCTTGGGGGCAACAGTGGAGCACCATGCTTTCAATAAAAAACACCAGGAAGAAGCCCAATGAAATTATGAGCTCTCCATATGGGTACAGCTGCCAGGGGAGAAAGGGAAGAGAATGGGAAGAGAAAGAGAGAGAGAGAGAGAGAATGAATTTGAAACAGAATCATTATGAATTAACATATAAATTACATCACTGTATAATTTATAAGTTCAGGTTAAATCTCCCCTTTCCTCAATTAGCACGTCCTTAAGTTTCTTACAATGTTTTCTGGAGTTGGTTGAACTGAGAAAGAAAAATCCATTCGGGAAGTTTGCCTGGCTAAAGATGAGCCTGAACCTGGGTCACTGAATTGTTAAGCATGGGAACAAACTCAGATCTATCTAAAGCAATCATGGAATCATAAAGTTGGAAGGGACCTTGGAGGTCTTGTAGAGTCCAACACCCTGCTCAAGGCTGGAGTCTTATACTATCCAAGTCAAATGGCTGTCCAGTCTATTTCTGACAGCCTCCAGTGATGGAGCACCCACAACTGCAGGAAGCAAGCTATTCTGTTGATTAATTGCTCTCGCTGTCAGAAAATTTCTCCTTACTTTTAGGTTGTAGCTCTTTTTGACAAGCTTCTACCCATTGTCTTGGCCCCTGGTGCCCTAGAGCAAGGCTTTTCAACCAGTGGTATGGGTACCACCTGTGGTACATTGGCACCTGGCAGGTGGTACGCAACCATCCTAGAAAAGTGGTAGTGGGGGACGGGAATGAGCTGAACCAATGGCAGCACCGCACAGGCCTGAGTGAGAGATGGCTGCAGCTGCAGGGCTGTCAGGGCTCAGCAGAAGCGCCAGGATCAGTGCCAGTTTCCAGCTGATCGGCGCTTTTTGGGGGCTGTCAGGGCTCAGTGGAAGCACCAGTGGAAGCTCGGCGCTGATCCTGGTGCTTCTGCTGAGCCCAGAAGAACCCCCATCAGCTGGAATGTTGCAGCATCTCCAGGGTCTTGTGATTTACATTCAGATGCTTGGCAACTGATTCATATTTATGATGGTCACAGTGTCCCAGGGTCATGTGAAGTGACCAAAACCTGCTGCAACCACCCAGCAGACGGGGGGAATAAAAACCAAACACCCCCCACCCCATCCCCGCTGCCAATCCTCAACAGAAATGCTCACAACAATGAAAACCTCGGACAGGAGGAAGAGCTTTGCCGGGCGGGCAGGCAAATGTCTTGCTCGGCTGTGGCTTGGGGGTCACTTTTTTCAGTGCCATTGTAATTTCGAACAGTCACTAAGTGAACTGTTGTAAGTTGAGGACTACCTATATTTCATCACTTTTTTCCTTTTTTTATTTTTGGTCATCAAGTTTTTGACACCTTGCTAGGCGACTGGTGGTACTCGGATGTTGCCATATCCTAAAAGTGGTACAATGGGTGAAAAGGTTGAAAAGCCCTGGCTTAGAGCTCCGGACTGCTGCAACTGGTAGCAATGCAGTAGACATATTTTAGAAAAAGGACTGAGGCAAGTTTTATGTACAAATGTTATAATGAAATGAAACCGTTGATTGAGATCATCAGCTACCATGTGTCAAGATAGCAATATAAGGATGATACTCAGTTGTACATCTCTGCCCATGTGAGTTAAATGATGCTGCAACTGTTCTTTCTCAATGCCTGAAACTTTTGAGATCTGGATAGGTAGCAGCAAGTTAAAACTGAACACTGGCAAGGCAGAGTGACTTTGGGCCTGGGTGCCTTGGTTCTCAGCGAATTACTAGTTTGGGCCATGGATGGGGTTGCACTGCCCCAGACCGACCTTATGTGGAATCTGGAGATTTTCCTGGACTCCTGCTCAGAAAGGTTGTGACCAAGAGACCCTTTGCACATCTGTGTGTTGTGCACTATGTTCATTCCTGGACCAATAGTCCCTTTTCACAGTCACCCATACCTTGGTCAGTTGCAGTTTGGACTATTATAATGCTTTCTACATGGGGCTACCCATGGAAACTTCAGGTGGCTTAAAACAGGGCTTTTCAACCAGTGGTACAGGTACCACCTGTGGTACATTGGCACCTGGCAGGTGGTATGCGACCATCCTAGAAAAGTGGTGGCGGGGGAGGGGAATGAGCTGAACTGGTGGCAGCACCACGCAAGTCTGAGCGAGAGATGGCTGGAGCTGCAGGGCTGTTTGGGCTCAGGGGAAGCGCCAGGATCAGCGTCAGGCCCCAGCTGGAGCTTGGCACTGATCCTGGCACTTCTGCTGAGCTCTGAAGAAGTGCTGATCAGTTGGAATATTGCAACATCTCCAGGGTCGTGTGATTTACATTCAGATGCTTGGCAACTGATTCATATTTATGATGGTCACAGTGTCCCAGGGTCATGTGAAGTGACCAAAAACTGCTGCAACTACCCAGCAGACAGGGGGAATAAATAACAAACACCCCCCCCACCCAACCCCTGCTGCCAATCCTCAACAGAAATGCTCACAACAATGAAAACCTCGGACAGGAGGAAGAGCGCGGCCGGGTGGGCAGGCAGGTGTCTTGCTCGGCTGTGCCTTGGGGGGCACTTTTTTCAGTGCCATTGTAACTTTGAACAGTCATTAAGAGAAATGTTGTAAGTTGAGGACTACCTGTACTTCATCACTTTTTTTCTTTTTTTTAATTTTGGGTCATCAAGTTTTCGACACCTTGCTAGGCGACTGGTGGTACTCAGATATTGCCATATCCTAAAAGTGGTACAGTGGGTAAAAAGGTTGAAAAGCCCTGGCTTAAAATATAGCAGTCCATATAGTTTCAAGCAAGTCCACATTTATATGCTAGCAATTTGCTTCTAGGTGCAATTCAAAGTGCTGGGTATCACCTTCAAACTTCCACATGATTTGGAGCCAAGTTATTTAATGAACCAGCTCCTGACAATTATATCTACCCAGCCTATCAGAGCAGGAGGGCAGGGCATGTTTCAGGAAGTATCCAGGAAGTACATATGGTGGGGCCTTCTTTGGGGTGGCTCCCTCACTTTTGAACATCATTACTCCAGAGATAAGATTCAACCCCACCTTGTTCCTTTTTTATAAACTCGAAGACATGGTTTTTTCAGTGGACCTGGAACCCTATTCAGAGCTGATCAGGTGGCTTATTTGAATCTGTTGTCACTAACATGGATTGGGCAGGGTGGAGTTAAACTGTGAACTTTTAACTGTAGTCCAAAGTCAAAGTATGTGAGTTGGGTGGCTATATAAAATTGTTTAATAAATAAATGGTGAGGAAACAGATGGAAGGATTAGGTTCAGTGATTGATAATGTTCTATTTAAATCAGTGGTTCTCAACCTTTTTAATGCCGCAACCCCCAACCGGTCGTAAGTCGAGGACTACCCAACCGGTCATAAGTCGAGGACTTTCCCTGCCCGGGAGCGCCGCACATGTGTGGTGCCGCCCCCTGCACCAGCCGAGGCGTAGCTGGCAAGCAGCAGAGACGGCGCAGGCCGACCACCGGCTGGGCCACTAGCTGGCCCAGCCCAAGAGAGGTAAGGGACCCACTGGGCCCCACGCGTGCCAGCAACCCTCCCTGCACTCGCCGGCCTCCCACCTCCCACCCCTGGCCCTCTTTTACTTACATTTTTAGTAGTTGCTCAGCTGGGAGGGTGGAAATTTCCAGACAGCTCGCCTTCGCTGCAGACAACTTGCAGCACCTTTTGCAGAATGAGACTTTTGGCGGGCTCAGCAGGGCAGAGACAGCCTGGACAATTCCTATTGGCTTTTGAAAGCCAATAGAATTAGACTCTATTCAAGAGAGTCTATTATTGGCTTTCAAAAGCCAATAGAATAAAAGGGAGTAGCACAGCTAAGGAAAAGGGGGAAAAAATGGCGGACTGCGTTGTTTGGCGACCCCCATGAAATGGTCGTTCGACCCCAAATGGGGTCCCGACCCACAGGTTGAGAACCGCTGATCTAAATTGTAAAGGACTTTTGCTATCAGATTATCATCACCTGCTTTATTGAGACTGATCCTTATAATCAAACCATCATCACTTACTAAAACCATTGTGCTGTAGATAATGGACATGATGAGTTATAGGGTGCTTACTTGGGTGCTGACTGAGTAGTACAAGGCCAACTAAAAAAAGCAAAGGAGTGGAAGCATAGGGGTTCATATGGCAAACTAGGGTTTATTGGACAGAACAATCATTATTTCTTCCAAGGTTTGGGAAGGATAAATGTTCTTTATAATGATGACCAGCTAATATGATAGAATTTATACAATGGTGTTTGATGTATAGTTGTTGTCAATTGCATGAGTTCTTTTCCTAGTAGGATAGTATCTTAAATGGATGTGTGAGTAAGGTATATAATAAGAGGGACATCAACACAACTATGTCCTTATGTTTAATTACAGAAGCAATGTTTACCAGAAAATGTTTTTTGTGTTATTTTTTAAAGTATATCGAATTAACATTTCCTTTACCTTTCCTTTTCTCATTCCAGGTATAATGGCCTGTCTTCTCTTTATTTGACTTCCTAAAAAAGGAAGGGGCCATTCAATTTTTTGTTTACATCCCATTCCCAACCCTTAAATATTCTTCCAGCAAAGTCATGGACTTAGCAATAATAAGATAGTAGTTATTGCCTTCTTCTCAGAGATGTTTTCAAGATGTTTCACAGAATTATGATAGTAGTAGCTATGCCCCTTTCGTGCATCCATCCAGCAGCATGACACATGTAGATACAGGTGGCACTTGTGTTGAGACAATACAACACTGTTTTCATCATTTACCTCCACTGCAGAAAGCTCTGCTTCTTCCATTTTGGTTTTTTTGTTCTTGTTAATGTTTTGTTTTACTCTACAGTCTTCAGTTTTATGGAAGACAAGTGACTGAGAAGATTGAATTACAGCCTTCCAGTAGCTCAGGAAGTGAAAATGAGTCCATCTGAGGTCTTCATTTGTCATGGTCAACTATTTTTATCTAGATCTCTGAGTTTTCTCTTGTACTTCCTTGGAGGATTGTTATAGGTTTCTCTTCTTACTACATTTTTGTCGTAGCACTCAAGGCAAGTATGGTGGCATAAGCGGCATTAAGTGTCCACAACACAAAGTGCCAGAGAAGACAAAAATGAACAGGTCCGTGTATCGACAATGGCTGATGGGTAGCCTGGAAGGCAGGTTTCCCAGGTTCCTTAGCATGAGCAATGTTTCATGCCCAAATGGCAATGACAGCCATTATAGAGAAGCCTAGGCTGATAAAAAGGAACTTGATGAGAGGGCTTTCATGTGAACTCAGCTCGTAAGGAAGAATTTCCAGGAATGTGATATAGAGAAAAGTTCCTGCTGACACCCCTTCAAGGACTGCTTGAGCCAGACCGCTACCATCCCCATTGAAAAGAGAGACGCCGATGCCCACGCTGATACCGATAGGAGACATCAGAGCAAAGACCACCAGGTAGAGCATCCTCCATTGGAGCCTAGTGCTACTCTGCACCAGCTTCAAAGACAAGCTGAAACTCATGATGGCTTTGTGGATGAGCACGGCCAGGCAAAGTTGGATGGTGTCTGTGGCCTCTTTTTGCACACCAATGGCAAGTCCTTCAAAGACTGAATGAAAGGACAGTGACAGGAAGAGTATAAATGCCCGGAAGGAACTGTGAGAAGGTGGGAGCTCCTTGTGATCCTCATGATTTTCATTGTTGCCATGTGAGTGAACAGCTTGGGGGCAACAGTGGAGCACCATGCTTTCGATAAAAAACACCAGGAAGAAGCCCAATGAAATTATGAGCTCTCCGTATGGGTACAGCTGCCAAAGGAGAAAGGGAAGAGAGTGGGGAGATAAAGAGAGAGAGAGAAAGAGAGAGAATGAATTTGAAACAGAATCATTATGAATTAACACATAAATTACATCACTGTATAATTTATAAGTTCAGGTTAAATCTCCCCTTTCCTCAATTAGCACGTCCTTAAGTTTCTTACAATGTTTTCTGGAGTTGGTTGAACTGAGGAAGAAAAATTCATTCAGGAAGTTTGCCTGGCTAAGGATGAGCCTGAACCTGGGTCACTGAATTGTTAGGCACGGGAACAAACTCAGATCTATCTAAAGCAATCATGGAATTGTAAAGTTGGAAGGGACCTTGGAGGTCTTCTAGAGTCCAACACCCTGCTCAAGGCTGGAGTCTTATACTATCCAAGTCAAATGGTTGTCCAGTCTATTTCTGACAGCCTCCAGTGATGGAGCACCCACAACTGCAGGAAGCAAGCTATTCTGTTGATTAATTGCTCTCACTGTCAGAAAATTTCTCCTTACTTTTAGGTTGTAGCTCTCTTTGACAAGCTTCTACCCATTGTCTTGGCCCTTGGTGCCCTAGATCAGGGCTTTTCAACCAGTGGTATGAGTACCACTTGTGGTACATTGGCACCTGGCAGGTGGTACATGACCATCCTAGAAAAGTGGTATCGGGGGAGGGGAATGAGCTGAACCAGTGACAGCACCACACAAGCCTGAGCGAGAGATGGCTGCAGCTGCAGGGCTGTCAGGGCTCAGCGGAAGCGCCAGGATCAGTGCCGCTTTCTAGCTGATCGGTGCTTCTTCTGGGCTGTCAGGGCTCAGTGGAAGCACCAGTGGAAGCTCGGCGCTGATTCTGGTGCTTCTGCTGAGCCCTGAAGAAACACCAATCAGCTGGAATGTTGCAGCATCTCCAGGGTCTTGTGATTTACATTCAGATGCCTGGCAACTGATTCATATTTATGATGTTCACAGTGTCCCAGGGTCATGTGAAGTGACCAAAACCTGCTGCAACCACCCAGCAGATGGGGGGAATAAAAACCAAACACCCCCCACCCCACCCCCGCTGCCAATCCTCAACAGAAATGCTCACAACAATGAAAACCTCGGACAGGAGGAAGAGCGCGGCTGGGTGGGCAGGCAGGTGTCTTGCTTGGCTGTGGCTTGGGGGGCAATTTTTTCAGTGCCATTGTAATTTTGAACAGTCATTAAGCGAACTGTTGTAAGTCGAGGACTACCTATACTTCATCACTTTTTTCCTTTTTTTTTTTAATGGGTCATCAAGTTTTTGACACCTTGGTAGGCGACTAGTGGTACTCGGATGTTGCCATATCCTAAAAGTGATTACAATGGGTGAAAAGGTTGAAAAGCACTGCCCTAGAGCAGGGGTCCCGAACCCCTGGCCCGTGGACTGGTACCGGTCCGTGTCATGCCAGCAACCAGTCCGCACAAACAAGCAAAGCCCCATCCGCAGGATGCAGGCAGCACACAAAACCATGCACCCTCTGGTCTGCGGAAAAAATTCTCTCCATGCAACCGGTCCCTGGTGCCCAAAAGGTTGGGGACCTCCGCTCTTGAGAATAAGTCTAACGTAACTGAATCTAACAAAATAAATTGTAAGGGATCTTGGAGATCTTCTAGTCCAACCTCCTGTTGAAGCAAGAGACCCTATACCAGACATGTGGCTGTCCAATTTCTTCTTAAAAACCTCCAGTGATGGAGCACCCACAACTTCTGAAGGCAAGCTGTTCCACTGATTAATTGTTCTCACTGTTAGGAGTCAATCTCCTCTTCTTTGTGACAGTCCCTCGAGGCTATCATGTCCCCCCCCCTCCAATCCTTCTCTTAAAAACATGGCTGTTTTTGAGTTCTTTAGAACTCTAATAAAGAATGGGGATGTTAGAAAAAAAAACTAGCTGGATGTTTAAACAGTTTGGCTGAATATTGAAAGTCCTCAGTTCCAAGGCAAAGGTGGCTGACTGGATGCAAGCTCCCTTTGAACACAAACTGCTGAATGAGGACTTGTATAACACATTACACTCAGTTGTGAAGGAAACAGCAACTCCACTCAATACTGAACAGAAGCATCCATAAATATCTCTGACCAACAGTGGCCTGGAAGACCAAATGGAGAAAATGTCAGTCACTACTGCAACCAAATTACTGTATACTGAATACTGTAATTTGGATTTTAGGCTGGTCAAAATGAATGTGATCCATCCAGGGAATCCCATGAATGTCCATTGTTGAATGGAGTCTCGAATCTGGATTTTGCTGGCGTCATAACTATGCTCCATTTGCCCCAAGGATCCATGATCCTTGGAGCAAATTTATTTATTCATGAACAACTATAGTTTTATTCCTACATTGAAAACCCTGGACAAATACCCCAATGCTACCTTTCAAAAGTCATCCATCAGCCTGCATGGCAAAACAGTTGTTAAGGTGTACAAAGGATTTCAAATCTTTCAAGATTAGCAGGAAAATGTTTGTTGTTACATTTTTTCAGGGTTTTTCCTCCCCTCTACTTGCCAACCTCTGCCAAAAGGTGAAGGCAAAACTAAGAAAACCTTATCTGCAGCAGCTACTAACTTTCATAGTTTTAATTTCAACTTAACTTCTGTTGACTTCATCCCATATTTAAGAAGTTCCTAAGGTCCCTAGTGTGTAATGCACTAACGTGCCTACCATCCCTGTCACAGTTTTTTCATTGTGTTTGCTCAAATTTGTAATTTTTGTTTGACAAATAAATAAGTCAATACATTTTAAAGTGCTTTTACTACTGATTCTGGAGAATTGATGGGTGGCAATACTAGGATTGGACCAGCAGATGGCAGTAAAGTATTCCTGAACAGAAACTCTTCCTTCATGTATACTAATTCCTTACTCTCTAAATCAGACATGTCAAACACAAGGCCCCAGGGCCGGATGCTGCCCACGAAGTGGTTTCATGTGGCCCACGAAACCATCCTGGAAACAGTGAGGGAACGACCCCCGTTGCCTTGGCCCTGGCCGGCCGGGAGCCAATGTACAATTTTGTGGTGGCCATCTATGCTGAAACGCATTCAGTGTTAGCTCCACAAGGCCATCTGGAAACAGCAAGGAACCAGCCCCTGCCGTGTTGGCCCCACCCCCTGGGTGCATGCTGGGAAGATGTCACCCTTTGTGAGGAATGAAGAAATGCACCATTGCCTGGAAGTGGCCAGCAAATGGCCCTCACCTACTTCACATATCCGGCTTGATGGGCTCCAGGGGAGGGGTTTCGGCAGGCAGTGAGGCTCCTCCAGTGGACCATGCCTTGGCACTTGCCCTGGTCCCACCCCCTTCTGCCAGAGACCCTCAGATTTGTCCCACTCCTGCCCGGGCCCCCACAGGCACCCTTGACGTGAACGATGTAGAGCTGGCCATGCCCACCCAGTAGGCCACACCCACTCCATCCATGCCCACCCAGTATGCTGCACCCACCCTGGCCACACCCACCCGGCCCCCGAGAGGGCAACCGCAATGCTGATGTGGCCCTCAATGAAATTGAATTTGACACCCCTGCTCTAAATTATCAACATTTCTACCCGGAACAAAACAAAGATCTCCCACCCAGTATAGAAAGGCACTAAAAAAAAAAAGCATATCAACATTTCCAAGAATGCAATCTTGTGCGAGGCTGAATTCTCAACATCATAGTTTAAAGGATGTGTCCGTGTGAAGCAAATTTTAATCTTGCTTTTTTGTTCTCTGTGGAACAAGAATGGAAAAACACAACATGTTCTTCTAACACCCGTTTATTATCCCGATTGTCCTAGGATCTAGGTGAGGTTGAGCAGTAGCCCAGTTTCCTAGATCTCAAATCTGATTTCACCAGTCTTGGACTGACATGAATCAATATACTCGTAGGACGCCTCTCAGAGGTGTAACCTATTGTCCTGATGCCAGAGACCAAGTTCTGAAGAAAAAAACATGAATTAAAGCAGGGGCAAGCAAGTTGTGATTAAAAAAAAAATAACTTTTTACTAACTTCAGCCACAGATTAATAGTGTTTATTTATTTATTTTTTTAAAAAAGGAAATTATCCTACTCTCAGGGGGGGGGAACCCTCTGAAAATCAGGAAAGTTCAGCTCCTACCCATGTTTACATGCCCCTCTCCCATTTTTTCCCATTCTTCCATCCATGGTAGCCTCTCCTCAAAGGAATTTGGCTGATTTCTGGCCATTGAAATGGGTTCCCTTCCCCGGGTTTGCATCTTTCCCTCCTGTTATCTGTCAGAATAAAGAAGAGAAATGGAAGGTACACAGTGCCTCATGTGGTTAGAATGATGATTAGGAAGGCCTCCTTCAAGACCCGAGTGCTGCTGTGTGGTGGGTGACCCTCCGTCATTCGCTTCTGCTCCTGCCCACCTAGCAGTTCCAGAGAGAACATTGCAAATAGATAAATAGGTACCACTTTGGTGGGCATATTAATGAGGACATGAAAGGAGCCCCCAATCCGGCCTCCCCCAAGGAACAGTGATGTCCCCAGTTAATTCTTTCAACTCGGAAATGTCTTAGGTGCTTCTGACACAAATGCAAGCGAGCAAGAGAAGCAGGAAGTAATGCCAATGATGAGGAATGCTGGGAACTGTAGTGCAGCAACACCTGGAAGGCCACAAGTTACCTCCTCGTGGCCTACGGACAGGGTACTATTGAGTCAAAAAGCCACAGTTTGTGAAAGATTACATATTGTTTCCTAAATCCTTATAAATAAAGAGGTTCCTAAGTCACTTATCCCCATTCTAATACCACGTGAAAACGTTAGCTTACAGTTTTTACTAATCTATCCTAACCAGCCCCCACTGACAAAGTTCTTACTGAGTGGTGAATTTGGAGATTGAAGTCCAATGACATAATGGAACCTGGAGCTGATGTGAATCTGGGAGGAATGAAAAGACTGACTAGCTTGGAACTGCTAAGGGGAAGGAGGCGGTGGAAAGCAAATCCTCCCTACAGCTTGCAGTACTTATCTAATAGTTTCTGTCACGAGTGCATTAGTTTGGCAAGATTCCTGTCAATCGGTGAGCAGCAATAAACATGTCCTTCTGATCAACTGTGCAGTGGTTAGAATGCAATATTGCAGGTTAACTCTGCCCACAGTCTGGAGTTCAATACTGACAGGCTCAAGATTGGCTCAGACTTTCAACCTTCCAAGGTCAGTAAAATAATGAGTCAGATTGTTGGGGGTAATCATCCCTGTAGCCAAGATTGTTGTTTTAAAGCCACTTCTGCTTTAAAGGCTTTGCAATGCTTTGGATATGACTCTTGAGCATGCATTTTGGGGTATACCTCAGTGTGTCTTGAAAGCAGCCATGTCTTTTTCATAACTGCTGCATGATGCTGAGAAAGTATCACTAATTTAATGAACTGCTGGCAAATGAAGCGTATACTGTATATGCCTGTATACTTGGAAACAACTTTTCAAATTTAAATCCAAAATACTACATTGCCCTAAGACAGTGGTTCTCAACCTTTTTAATGCCGTGATCCCCAATCAGTCGTAAGTCGAGGATTACTCAACCGGTTGTAAGTCGAGGACTACTCAACTGGTGCAGCACCGTTTGCAGAATGGGACTTTTGGCGGGCTCAGCAGGGCAGAGACAGCCTGGACAATTCCTATTGGCTTTTGAAAGCCAATAGAATTAGACTCTATTCAAAGGAGTCCATTCTATTGGCTTTCAAAAGCCAATAGAATAAAAGGGAGTAGCACAGCTAAGGAAAAGGGGAAAAAATGGCAGACTGCGTTGTTTGGCGACCCCTGTGAAATGGTCGTTCGACCCCAAATGGGGTCCCGACCCACAGGTTGAGAACCACTGCCCTAAGAGCAATTGTTCAAAATGTATGCATTTCAATTTACTTGTCCTTGTTTTAAAGCTTGGTTTTTAAAAAGTCTTCTAGAAAAATGGCAACCAACAATTTTTTTTAAAAAAAAAGATTAAGTCTCAAACAGGACAGAAAATCAAGAACAGAGTTTTTTTTCTACTCAACATGATAAGTTATCATACCAGCTGGACCAGAGAGATAAAAACAGTGATTAGAAATGCTCTAAGACAAGTCAACAAATAATTTAAAGTTGTCTAATCTAATCAAAACTCAAAGTATATAGCTCTTTGGAAGCTCTAAAACCAAGTGAAAGCTGAACTTGTGAGATTAAGTAATTGAAAATATTGCAAAATGGGGAACCAATACAAAATTTAATCTTGCAAATGATCCACACCCATTCTGTTACAAATTTGAACACTCTGCCAACCATTGGAGTTACTGATTCTACTTCAGGGCTTTTCAACCTTTTCACCCATTGTACCACTTTTAGGATATAGCAACATCCGAGTACCACCAGTTGCCTAGCAAGGTGTCGAAAACTTGATGACCAAAAATTTTAAAAAAAGGAAAAAAGTGATGAAGTATAGGTAGTCCTCGACTCACAACAGTTTGCTTAGTGACTGTTCGAAATTACAATGGCACTGAAAAAGTGCCCCCCCAAGGCACAGCCAAGCAAGACACCTGCCTGCCCGCCCAGCCGCGCTCTTCCTCCTGTCCAAGGTTTTCATTGTTGTGAGCATTTCTGTTGAGGATTGGCAGCGGGGGATGGGGTGGGGGTTGTTTGGTTTTTATTCCCCCTGTCTGCTGGGTGGTTGCAGCAGGTTTTGGTCACTTCACATGACCCTGAGATACTGTGACCATCATAAATATGAATCAGTTGCCAAGCATCTGAATGTAAATCACAAGACCCTGGAGATGCTGCAACATTCCAGCTGATTGGTGCTTCTTCAGGGCTCAGCAGAAGTACAGGATCAGCGCCGAGCTTCTACTGGTGCTTCCACTGAGCCCTGACAGCCCCGAAGAAGCGCCGATCAGCTGGAAAGCAGCACTGATCCTGGCGCTTCTGCTGAGCCCTGACAGCCCTGCAGCTCCAGCCATCTCTTGCTCAGGCTTGTGCGGTGCTGCCACTGGCTCAACTCATTCCACTCCCCTGCTACCACTTTTCTAGGATGGTCGCGTACCACCTGCCAGGTGCCAATGTACCACAGGTGGTACTCATACCACTGGTTGAAAAACCTTGTTCTACTTCAACTAGAATGATATAAAATATGATTCACAGAGGTAACAGTCAAGGAATTTATTTGTCTCTAACCCGGTGTTTCTTAGCCATGGCAACTTTAAGATGTGTGGACTTCAGCTTCCAGAATTCCCCAGCCATCATGCTGGCTGGGGAATTCTGGGAGTTGAAGTTCATACAACTTAAAGATGGCAAGGTTGAGAGACATTGTTCTACCCACCTCTGTAGCAACATCTAGCTTATTTTAGCTGCTCTCCATTCGCTAAGCAGGATCAGGCCTGGTTAGTTAGAGAGCAATGGGAAGTTACTCTATATTTTTCAGCTACACCCCTGAAGTTATGGACTCAAATCACATTCGATTCAAAGAACGTATTACCTTCCCTCTACTGATCATGATGAGGAACCTGTAGAATTCAAGAACATTGGAAGTTTACAGGTTCCTCATCATGATCAAAGCTTGAAGGTCATGATGTTGGCAGAGGGAGGCAATACATTCCTTGAGTCAAACATGATTTTCAAACTCCAACTTCAATCATCTCAGGAAACATGCCCAATGGTTAGGAACAATGGAAGTTGGAATCCAACATCTGGAAGATTACCAGTTCCCAATCAGTAGTAAAATCATCCAAAATGAAGGGAAAGCAAAGTTCTCAAACAATGGGATACTTACCTCTGAATCATTATCCGTTTGTGTGTGGGTGCTATTTTCTTTATGTCTGGCACTCTCCTAGAAACAACACAACATTAGTTTTGGACACAAAACTATATTCAATCAAAACTACTGCAGAAATGAAAGGAAGATATCAGTTTGAAGGTGATATATCCCCATGTACTGAATTTGGCTTTCCAAGCAATTAACTTTTTGCAACATCACTGTTCCATACTGACTCTTAAGAATAAGCTGCAAAAGGCATCATTCTTTTAAATAGTTACACTTTTTAAAGGCATGCATACATATGCAGAGAGAAGAAAATGTGTTAAGAAAGACAGTCTTAAGTCACTGGTCTTACTAGGTAAGATTATTGCTAACTCTGGTCCAGAATTGCTGCAATAATTAGCAATAATTAGTTAGCAGGGTGATGTGATCAAAGGGGGATTTGACCAACTTATCCAGGTTCATCTACATACAAGCTAGTTCACTGTCATTAAAAAAAATAACATGTTCTAGACCTCAAGAGGTCATAAGATTTCATGTGATCTTGTGTATGAAGGTGTAGCTGTTAATAATAATAATAACAACAACAACAATAACAAAAACAAAAAAAAACCCCAACTATATGGGAACCTTTAATTTTGGACAGGCCACTGAACAGGAAAATCCAGGGTCAATTCTTTGGGCCAGTCACTTTCAGATCAGTCTACATCATAAGATTCTTGCTGTGAGAGTAAACCAGGGGTCTTCAAACTTGGCCCTTTTATGACTTGTGGACTTCAACTCCCAGAATTTCTCAGCCAGCATGCCTGGCTGAGGAATTCTGAGAGTTGAAGTCCACAAGTCATAAAAGGGCCAAGTTTGAAGACTCCTGGAGTAAATAATAGCCAAGGAGATTATTACATTGACTTGCAGAGGGATCAGTGAAGTTCAATAATTGGTAAATTAGAAACTTGCATAATATCAGAATTTTTTCCTGTCCTACATTGACTTATTTTTTTTTTCTAATAGGAAATGATGAATCATGGAACTTCGGCATTTGAAAGCACAATCCAGTTCACATGATGGCAAAAATGGGAATCTAGGTTCTCATTAGAGCACTCACCACGTGCAGTCGTTTTCTTATTTCTGTGTCAATGTCTCCCAGAGCATCAGCCACCATGTGCATAATGCAAGCACCAAGGAAGACCCCAGCAGCGAAGCAGCCAATAAAACTGAGGATGCGCCGATGCTTCCCTGAAAATAAATGAAAGAGAGAAAGATATTTAAGGATTACCTGCCCAGGTAGGTTTGTTTTGGTGATTTGTTTGGTGATTTGGTTTGGTGATATTGTTTGTTATGTTTTGTTTGATATTTGTTTTGGTGATCATCTACTTGAATGCATCAAGCATTCCCCCCCTAATTTCCAGCACCATGGACAGTGCAGCAATGTTTGTACTCAGTCCAATGTATAGGTCAGGGATAGTCGACCTTGGCTCTTTTATGACTCATGGACTTCAACTCCCAGAATTCCTGAGCCAACCATGCTAAGGAGAAAGGGAAAGGTTTCCATGCTGAGCCATGCTGGCTCAGGAATTCTGGGAGTTGAAGTCCACGAGTCATAAAAGAGCCAAGGTTGCCTACCCCTGGTAAAGGTAATCCTTGATTTACGAACACAATCAGGACTACAATCCATTGCTAAGTGATGTGGTTGTTGAGTGAGTCATCACATCACCACACCCAGTTTTACAAGCTTTTTTGCCAGGGTGATTAAGTGAATTATATACTCTCGTTAAGCGAATCTGGCTTCTTCCACTGACTTTGCTTGTTGGAAGCCAACTGGGAAGGTTGCAAATCACATTACCTTGAGATGCTGCAAAATTGCAAATATATGCTGGTGGCCAAGTGCTTAAATCAAAATCAGACATCTATGACAATTCTGTAATGGTCATAAGTGTGAGGACCAGTCATAAATCACATTTTTTTCAGTGCTGTTGCAACTTTGAACAGTCACTAAATGATGATTCTCAGTCAAGAACTATCTGCCTCAGTGAGGATGTTATCAAAAGTGGAAACTATTTACATTTGTGGTGGTCCAACATGAAAATTCAGAATTGTGAAAAAGGTTTCTTTTATTGAAATAGGAAATAACTAACTGGAACCTAGATAAACTCCGTTACTGCCATTCAGAGGAGCAAATGAAAACTTGCTACATAAGTATGTGCTTTGTGTTAATGGCTGCTAGACGATTTATAAGAGCCATGGTGGTACAGTGGTTAGAAGGCAGTATTGCAGACTACAGCAATTTGATTCTAACTCAGCCTTCCATCCTTCCATAGTTGGTAAAATGAGGATCCAGATTGTTGGGGGCAATATGCTGATTCTGTAAACTTCTTAGAGAATCCTATAAAGCACTATGAAGTGGTACATACGTCTAACTCAGTGGTTCTCAACCTGTGGGTCGTGACCCCTTTTGGGGTCGAACGACCATTTCACAGGGGTTGCCAAAGTCCTGGAGTTTTGCCTCATAGAATCGTTATGAAACGCAGTCCGGCATTTTTTGTTTGTTTTTTTCCCCTTTTTCATGAGCTGTGCTACTCCCTCTTATTCTGTTGGCTTTTGAAAGCCAATAGAATAGACTCTGTTGAATAGACTCTATTCTATTGGCTTTCGAAAGCCAATGGGAATTGTCCAGACCTGGTCATTAATGGCTGTCTCTGCACTGCAAAGCGTGCCAAAAGACCCAGCCCGAAAACGTTGCACATGCAAGTTGTCTGCAGCAAAGGCAAGTTTGCAGGGACTTTTCACCTCTCGCTGCTGCTACATGGAGAGCCTGGTACTGAAGCACAGAAAACATGTGCTCGCCTGCCTCGTGCTCACCTCGTGCGCCATTGGTATGCATTGCGGCTGCTGCTGTGGGAGCCGCGGGGCCTGCTTGACACAGCGGGAAAGGTGGTGGCAGAGGTGGTGCTGGCGGGGTGGGTGGCTGACCTTCCTTAGGCTGGGCCAGCTGGTGGCCTAGCCGGTGCTGAACCTCTGCCACCACTGCCTCACCCTGTGTGCCTACATGGTCACCCTGGAGCGCCTGGCCCATGATGCTTGCCGCCTCCTCGGCCTGCCCACAGCCTGCGCCCTCCCACCGCCCTGCATTGGCATCTGGCTCAGCAACCGCAAGTTCTGCACCATCAGTGTGGTGTGCAGCTGGTGCTGTGGGAGCTGCGGGGCCTGCTCTACAAGGCGGGGCTGCGTGGGGTGGGCAGCAGGGCTGGCGGGGTGACTGCAGGCTGGGGTATGGGGGTGGGGGTGGCTGCACCAGCCGCTCCAGCTCTGGGGGGGCAGCCCACCACCGATGCCCCCCATGCCTCACACATCATACTCTTAGGAACCTGTCTCGCTTTAAACTCCCCCTAAAATTCTTCATTCAGGCAGGCTTCCAGAGTTTGGCCAGCAGGATGCAGGTAACCCCTCCCCCCTGTCCTGCCGCATCCCACGGCACCCTGCTGCTCCATGTCCTGCACCTTAAGCCTCGGTGGCACCGAACCGCTGGCATCCCCAATGGCCACTGACGCGCTCCCCACCGCCGGCGACCATGCAAGCCCTGGCAATTGCTCCAGCTGAAGAAGTGGGCGGCTGGGAGGCCGCCATGGCACCGATCTTCTGCGCCCGTCAGCTGGCTACCCCCTGAATGTGAGCTTGTCAGCTGGGAGGTCTGGCGACGGAGCCAGCCAGCATGGAGGGCAATGGGGAGATGGCGGCTCGGCGGGTGGCTTCCTGCCCGCCTGCGAATGTCAGGCCCACAGGGCTCAACACAGAGTCGACGGTCCAACATAACTTCCCTCCTTGGATGTCCCTTTCCCCCCCTCAAGTGTCAACAGGAGGTTGCAGACAACTAAATCAGCCGGTGCAGGAAGCCGTGGGATGGCCAGTCCAGGGCACCTGGTTGCAGTGTTGAATGTCTTTTGCTCCTCCTAGAAGCCAGTGGCAAGAGAAAGAAGTCGTTCAAACTTCAAGCTAGCTACTGAATACCTATTCACACCTTTTTTCCTTTTTTTTTTTTTTTGGAGTAGTTGTCTGCAAACCCCATCTATAAAAGAAAAAGTCTTCCACCCAAGCATAACTTTTAAGGATTTTAAGGATCTTTAAGCAGAAGAGAGGGAGAGAGAAATAGAGAGAGGGAGAGAAAGAGAGAGTGACAGGGAGAGAGAGGAGAAAGAGGGAAAAAGGGAGAGAGAAGGAAAGGAAGACAGCGGGAGAAAGGGAGAGAGAAAGAAAGGGAGGGAGGGAGAGAAATAGAGGGGGGAGAGAGGGAGAGAGGGAGAGAGAGAAAAAGGGAGAAAGGGAGAGAAATAGGGAGAGAAAGAAAGGAAGAGGGAGGGAGAAAGAGGGAGAGAGAAAGAAAGGGAGAGAGGGAGAAAGAAAGGGAGAGGGAGAAAGAAATAGGGGGAGAGAGGAAGAGAGAGAGAAAGTGGGAGACAGAAGAGAAAGAGGGAGACAGAGAGAGAGGGAGAGAGAAAGAAAGAGGGAAAGAGAGATTAAATTAGTAACATGGTTGTTAAGTGAATCTGGTTTCCCCCATTAACGTTGCTTGTCAGAAGGTTGCAAAAGGGGATCACGTGACCCTGGAACAATGTGACCATAAATATGAATCAGTTGCCAAGCATCGAAATGTAAATCACATGACCCTGGGGATGCTGCAACAGTCATAAGTGTGAAAAATGGTCATAAGTCACTTTTTCAGTGCCGTTGTAACTTTGAACAGTCACTAAGCTTGGCTGTCCACCAGGCTCTCTGCCAGAGCCTCCTCCCCTCCCACAAGGAGCTGCTTGTGTGTCCTTGGCAGCGCCTCCCTCCTTCAATCTCCTTCCTTCTCCATCTCCTTCCTTTCCCCTTCAATCTTCCTTCCTTCCTTCCCCTTCCTTCCCTCCCAACATTTTTGAGCAAGGAAGAATAAGCGTCTCCATCAAGCATTGCTATATTGTTTTTGTGATTAATCATTATGCTTTAATTATATTCAATTGCTAACAATGAAAATACACCCTGCATATCAGATATTTACATTACGATTCATAACAGTAGCAAAATTACAGTTATGAAATAGCAACAAAAATAATTTTATGGTTGGGGGTCACAACATGAGGAACTGTATTAAGGGGTCGCGGCATTAGAAAGGTTGAGAACCACTGGTCTAACTGCTATTGCTATTGCTCTAACTCAGTGATGGTAAATCTTTTAGAGACTGAGTGCCCAAACTGCAACCCAAAACCCACTTATGTATTGCCGGGTGGGTGTGGCCCACTCCGTGGATGCAGCTACAGTGGGCTTGGCAGATTGGGTGGGCGTGGCCACTGGATGGATGTGGCTGCAGTAGTCATGGCAGATTGGGTGGGCACGGCCGGGGTGGGTGTGGCCACCTTGATGTTGCTTATGGGGAGGGACATCTGTGGGAGCCAGGCAGGGTAGGGGAGATCCAGGGGGTCTCTGGCGGGTGGGATGGTGGGCTTCCCAATGGCGGCTCCAGGCTGGCTGGTCTGAGACCAATGATGGCGAACTTTTAGAGACCACGTGTGCTGGGGCGATGGCGCATGCCCACAGAGAGGGCTCTGCATGCCGCCTCTGGCATACGTACCATAGGTTCGCCACCACTGCTCTAACTACTGAAAAAAAGACCAGAAAAAATCTTTTAATACCATTCTGGTTTCAATGATATTGGCAAATAGCCCTTAGGGAGAAATTGATGGGGAAAAAAGAACAAAGACAAAGATTTAATATAGCTGTAGGTTGCTACTTTCAAAGTTTGGTATATAGCTTTATTATATACAATATGCATCTGACATAATACACATATTAAGATCAGCATCTGTTGGAAGTGGGAAAGAGCATGAGGATGGTACAAGCTACACTGTGGTTTTCTACATGTGTCACGACGTCACATGCATGTCCCAAAGGAATGAAGCTTATGTTCTGACACCACCGTCATCATTCTGATAAAGTAGTAAGATACTGTGAAAGCTACTGCATAGATTTTTTTTTTTGTGTATTTGTGTATGTGTGTGTGTAGGGATCTTCAATTGCTCGTTGTCTCTGCTCTAGTGATCTTTCTTAAAGAATTTCCTGTTAGTTGTAAGAAAGCACACTTTTATATTAAGCCTGAATCTAACATATTTAAACACTGTAGAATAAGTAGTCCTTGAAGATGGAATGGAGAGGAGACGAGACGAGAGGGGAGGGAAGGGGAGAGGTGAGGAGAGGAAGAGGAAAAGGAAGAGGAAGCCTTGAATATAGAATTAGACTACTGACTAAAGAACATGCCCAGGATTAAGCTGAAAAGGCATTGCTCAAAATGAACCTTGTTCTCACTCCACAGACATTCCCACTGCAAGCAAAGGGCTATAAATATATTAAGCGTAAAATTATACTAATCACAATGGGATGACACTAAGCTGGCAGGAATAACCAACACTCCAGAAGACAGGCTTAAGATAAAGGAGGACCTGGACAGATTTGAATACTGGGCGTTATCTAACAAAATTAAATTCAGTGGTGAAAAAAGTAAGGTTCTACATTTAGGCAAGAAAAACCAAATGTACAGGCATAGTATAGGGGGTACCTTGCTCAATAGTAGTAATAGTGAGAGGGATCTTGGAGTCCTAGTGGACAATCATTTAAATATGAGCCAGCAGTGTGCTGCAGCTGCCAAAAAAGCCAACACAGTGCTGGGCTGCATTAACAGAGGGATAGAATCAAGATCACATGAAGTATTAATACCACTTTACAATGCCTTGGTAAGGCCACACTAAGAGATAATTGTAGGAAGACTTGAGACATAGTACCTGCCCTGTTCCACCAACCTTGAATGAAGTAGAAGGAAGATTTCATCAAGGACTTAACCCAGTAAATCTAATTGTTTTACATGATATGAGAGCAAGGATGCTTGATGATGATGATGATGCACTATTTTTTTGCAAGACTGTTCAAGACTGAGATCTTTTTTCCTCTAATTTTACATCTGGAAGATGTGTCTTTAATTATTTTCTCCACTCTTTGTTCTTCTAGAACTAAAAAAAATGCTTTGAACACCCTATAAAGACTCCTTCAATTCAGGCCACATACACGTACGTATAAACAAGTTTTTTTATCAGGAGGACAAAGGTAAGGAAATCAGAATGTTTGCTATTCTTGCTTAATGAGATTTTGCTACTTTTTTTTTATTATTCTGAAAAGAGAAATAAAAGATTCCCGGCTGCCTGGCTTGGAAAATTGATGGCTATAAAAGTAGGGATAGTATTTGCATGAGGAAGTAAATAGGCCTATCATCTCAACTTCAACACCAAATGAAGAGGAAATGCTCTAAGCTTTTTATTTCAAATCTAATCAATATTCTGTTCACACTTTACAGGTAGTTCTTGACTTACAACCATACATTTAGCGACCGTTCAGAGGTAGAACAGCACTGAAAAAATATGACTTATGACCATTTTTCACACTTATGACCATTGCACCATGGTCACATGATCAAAATCCAAACACTCGGCAACCAGCATGTATTTGTGACGATTGCCGTTTTATGTGGTCACCTTTTGCAACTTTCTGGCAAGCAAAATCAATGGGGAAGCCCACTTCTCTTAACAACTATGTTACAAACTTAACAACTGCGGTGATTCATTTAACAATTGTGTTAAATGGAGCAAAACTCACTTGCTTAGCAACAGAAACTTTGGGCTCAATTTTGTCATAAGTTGAGGATTACCTGTACTGGATTTGGATCAGCAAATTTGGATTTCCACAGGGTTAAGCAAGGTTACACTTTGTATAATGTTTGAGTGTTGATTGTGATTGCATTTACATGCAATTGTTCTTCATCCAAGTTTTTACGCTTGAGATTGTGCAAACCTGAAACTTCTAGTTATTTTAACTCATACATATTAATCTATCTATGCCTTCTTCCATTTCCATCCTCTTCTTTTGTTGTTTGTTTCTATGCCAAACTAAAGCTGATAAAGAATTTCTTTCTAACATAGAGAGATACTTAACTGTTAAGAAAAACAATGTAGTAACGCTACGTCGCCTATTCCAAAGAGTAGGCAGGAATAAGGCAAAGAAAAGGGAAGGGCCAGGAGAAAAAAAAATGAAAAAGGGTTTAATGTACATTTCAACAGGATTAAAATTAATTGCAATTTTATATATAATTTTTATTAAAGATTTTTAAAAGGTATGAAGAATACATTTTTTTCTAGTCTGATGACTAGAATCCATACATCGCAAGTTTATTTTTTTTCAACAAAAATTCCCTATTTGATTTCCAGTGACCAATAAATGTAATTATTGTCCTTTCTCTAATCGAGCAAGTCAATTTTGTCATCTCTGCTAATTCTGTCACCTTCAGCAGCCATTTCTCCATTGTGGGTTTTTCAAGTGTCTTTCCATTTTTGTCCTTATAATAATCTCGCAGCAGTTATCATATATAAAAAAAAATCTTCTGGAATTCTTTTCTAATTGTCTATCCATTAGTCCCAACATGAAAAGTTCACTTCAAATGAATATAAAGCTTTAAAATTCTTTGTATCCCCTGTATGCATTTAAACTCAAAATTTTCTGGGTTTTTTGCAAGTCCACAGGTAAAACTCAACAATCCTTCATTTATTCCACATTTTCAACATAGGTTAGAAGCACTTTTATACACTCTAGATAATTTTTATGGAGTCGTACACCAATGGTATACCATTTTATAAAAGTTCTCTTTTAAATTTCAATATAATGTTAATTTCAGTCCTTTCAGCCACATATTTTATCATTGTTCCATCAGAATATTATTTCCCAAGTTCTTAGCCTATTTTTTAATCATAGGTTTTTCACTTGTTCTCCCATTCCAAGTTTCAAAAAAAAATAAAATAAAATACACATTTTAGAAATTACATGTTCATCATTTGTACATGTATAAAATTTGTACGGTTTCAAATCCTGCCTTGTGCTGTTCAATTTCCAAATATCGTATTATATGTTTCAAATCTTTCTCTTAACTGTACATATGAAATACATTGAAAACTGAGTGGGGAGGCATGGAATGTTGCAGGGCCTTTTCTGTGGTGGCTCCATTTGGAACATCATCACTGCAGAGATTAGATTGGCCCCCACTGTAACAGTCTTTTGCAAGACTCAGAAGATCTGGTTTTCCCAACAAGAACCCAGAAAAGGATGGAGCCCATTAAGTGGCTTGTTTGGTTGTTGTCACCAGGAGAGGTGTTTTATTGTTTGTATATTGGGTTTTTATTTTTGTAAGCAACCCAGAGTTACTGAGAGTGAGTAGACAGCCATACAAATATAAACAAGCAAACAAATCTGTAGTCAATTGATTTTTGATTTCATCTTATATTCTCCATTCTCTTGTTCTCACAATTTTCAATAGGTTCACTGCTGATTTTTTTTCTATAAAATGCTTCTTGTGCTGAGACCCATAAAGACATTTCTGAACACAATCTGGGTTTATATCTACTCTGTATCTTCAGTATGGCACATCTAATACAATGACGTATGGACTTCCAGCTCCTAGAATTCCCCAGCTAATACATCATGGCTGGGGAATTCTGGGAGTTGACATCCACACATCTTAAAGCTGAGAAACAGTGCCTTAACTTATTAAAATTAATTATACTTAATATGACTCGTTGGAAGTTTTTAATAACTTATCTTCACATAAAGGTAATTGAGACTAAATTAAAGGCTGTAGAAAAGCTTATTAAGTCATAGAACTTCAGGTTGTTCTCCCGTCTGAAAGGTAATATCCTATAATCCTATCATTTATAAGGCGCCCTATATGCCAATGTTTATCCTAAGCACCCAGTCAAAATAAGGATACTGATTCACCAAGAGGGAAAAAAAACTTGCTACGGTAAATTAGGGCCTGTTTATAACGACACAAATTGATTCATAACAAATTACGAGACAAAAAATGAATTCCAATTTCTTTATGGTGCTGTCTCTACCTTTTCTATTATATTAGTCCCACCTAACTGGAAATCATGATGACTGCAAATTTCTCACCTCTGGCCATGTTGATATGGAACCACTTGATCTGGGCTGGGATGAGGCCGCAAATAAGAGTGATAAGCAGCACTCCTACCAGGCAGCCAATTTTCACAGCCAGCAACTCATCCATCTTTGCAACCGGAAGGATTAGGGCAAAAGACACCAGATGAAGAACAGGTAAGGACCACCTCCTGTTGCTTTTGGTTCTTCTCAGGCCAATCTGCTCCTAAAGCTTCTCAGACCAATTAGTTTTGAGTGAAGAAAATCCAATGGGTCCTTCTCACTCTCCAGACCTTCTTGCTTTAGTAGACCAAAGACCAAGGAAAGACATCCAGACTTGTGCACTCATGAAGTCCACCTCCACTCACAACAAATTTTAAAGTGTATTGGTTTCTTTTTTACCTTTAGTCTCTTTTTAGCTCCACTACAAAATGACTACCATTCTCCAAATTTCTTCCTGTTCTCTCACTGTCCTAGTTTTCTGGAAGCCTTGTTGCTTCTATTCCATCTTTCTTCCTTTTTCTGACTCCTTCTCACCAGGTCCTTCTCCCCTCTGCTTGCTTCCATTCCATCTTCCTCCAATTCTTAACACTTCTCTGGATTTCTGTGAATAATCACCCTGATACTCCACAAGGGAACCTCCCACCAATTTGGATGTCCCAGCCCATTCCAATTGCTCTATTAAACATTAATACACCACGATTCACTTATAGGAAACAGCCCGTCAGGGAACCTTTCCTCATAAACCTAAGGTCACTGGGCCACAGTAGCAGTAGACAAAAGGCTCCACTTCAATTTTTCAATAAAAAAATAATTAAAATTGGAGTTTGTTGACTTAACAAAAAAAAAAATTGAACTGATCTCCAACTGGATCAGGATCTATAAATGCATGAGTCATGTCATTTACTATGCAATGCATCCAATTTCAAAGTAGTTCTCACAAAAGATTATAAACAGTCTACATTCCTGGAAAAAAAAATGGGCAAAAATCAACAGATCAAACTATACCAAGTACAAGTCCCAACAGTTCTTAAGATAATGTAACAGATTAGGGATACTAAGCTATGCTTGGTTCAGTATGTTATGTGAACTTGATATAGTTTGTAATATATGATTGCGTAGTGAAAAATCTGAACCCTACGAAGCATTCAGCAAAGTAGCACAGAGCAACCCATGACTAAGCTTGGCATATATCCAGCGCACGTACTTATATTGCTAACTAGAATACTTTGTGGAATTATTCAACATAAGACTGAAACCATGACAGGAAGGGTAAAATTTGAGTGGCTGGGACTGGCCTTAATATTTTTGCAGAAGGCAGCAAAGGCTACCATGAGAATGGCAATAATTAGATATGCTAACTGTTCCATGTATGAATTATTCTATACATGGGGTAGGTGGAGACGAGAAGCACAAAAATTGCATATAGCCCTGAAGGTTATACTACCCACCTTTGCAAAATAGGTTATTTATTTTTTTCAAGTTAGCAATTGTATTGTCAATTGAAGCTTTGAAAGATACTTCAAATCTGCTGAATCATAGCCAACTCCTACAAAATAGGTAAGGGATAACAAAATAGGTAATCATAGCCAACTCTTATAAAATAGGTAAGGGATAACAACACTCTTCATCTTTGATCACTGGCCATGTGGTTTTAGGCTACAGCTGCCGGGTGAGGAATCACAACAGATGGGACTTGGAATGCAGCAGTTCCTGGCAGGCCCTGTGTACCCCTTTTCTAAATACATTATGTATGTGAATGAGCAAGTTGCACCTCTCCTCCGGAAATATTGCATAAGCAAGATTGGTGCAACATGCATGCAGCCAACGCAATAATTAGTATGCTTGCTGAAGCTGAATAATTGCATTCTGCCAGTGAAGATCCATTGCAGCCCCAATAGACAGATTAAAAAAAAAATTGGAATTTCCAGCCCGAATCAACAATCCACCATTCACGCAAATGTATACAAACAATAGCCACCTTTCATGATCCCCCCCCCAAAAAAATTCAGAAGAATCTAAATAATCAGTTGGTGATGGATAAGATACCAGCAGCAAATTCTACAAGTGAACCAGATTGGCCCAAAACTGTATTAGAGGCTCAATGTTAAATCAATCAATCAATCAATCCAGATCTGAATAGCTTTTTTTTTTTTTACTGAATCTGACCATGCAGGTGTGCTGCTGAAGACTAGTTTGTCGAGCTGGATACAGGTAGTCTTCGACGTAAGTTTGTTTAGTGACCGGTCAAAGTTACAATGGCACTCAAAAAAGTGACTTAGGACCATTTTCCCCCACTTATGACCATTGCAGCATCCTGATGGTCAGGCGATTTATATTTGGATGTTTGACAACTGACTCACATTTATGATGGTTGCACTGTCCCAGGGTCATGTGATCATCACCCACTGTGACCTTCTGACAAGCAAAGTCAGTGGGGAAACCAGAGTCACTTAATAACCGGGTTACTAACTTAACAACTGCAGTGATTCAGTTAACAAATGTGACCAGAAAAATCGTGAAATGGGGCAAAACTCTGCTAACAAATTTCTCACTTAAGTGTTGTGATTCCTCGCCAGCTTGTGGATCCGGCAACTGAGTCTGAGGAATCAAATGAGGAGGAGGGGCCTGGAGTGACATTAGAGTCAGAGGAAGGCTCTGAGGAGCTCCAAGACTTACAATTGGACGAGGAGCCCGGCCCCTCTACTCACGCTCAGGCTGAGACACAGCTGTGCTGGGAGTCTGAGTTGAACAGTAATGAAGAACAGTTGGGAAACATCCAGGATGCACGAAGATGCAGGCAAGAGAAGCGAGTAGAACAGAAGAATGCAATGGGGTGGCTCCAAAGGCAAAGGAAAAGCCTTGGCTGAATTATAAAAGGGAAGGTGTGGGAGGTGCTCGTTGCCAAAGGCAACTGTTCGTGTTGAGGATCAAGTTTCTGTGGACTGTGTTTGTTTGCCTTGGACATTGACTCAGGTCTGTGAGAATAAAAAGGGGTTGGTTTTTTCTTGTGGTTTCTGCCTGCTTGTTGGAAGAAGGGTTTCTCCTTGTGAGCATAACAAAGACTCATGTAGGCTGGGACAGAACACTTAGCAACATAAATGTTGGGCTCAATTGTGGTAAGTTGAGGACTACCTGGTTACAACCAATCTTTTGGTTTTATGGGTCGCAAACAGAACTCTATTACTATGTTAATGCAGAACTATGTCAGGATTACAGCTTCAAGCTTGACCCTTCCCTCTTAATTCAAGGTAAAACCAACCTGCTCCACCAGCATAAAATCCATCAGCATCAGGACTCATACCAAGGCTGCCTCTTTTAAGATAACAACAGCAACAACCTGTATGCCCTCATTTATTAAATAATATATAGCCTTCTGGGCATACGTCAGAATAAACATAAAGGGTATAGAACTTTTGCGATAGAGTTTACTATTAAAAATTACCCCTACTTTGCTCCACAGTTCTTCAGGTAGCAAGTGTGGCCTTTGGAACGTAGTATTTGCACACAGACAGTAAAAAAAAAACCCAACAACTTTGAATTGGTTGCATAAAAAAAAAGAGTGTTTTTTAAAGCTGTTTTACGAAATTGTTATTGCAATGCAAACACCTTCATAATTCATCTACAGAAAAACAGAAGTGTATCTTCCAGATAAATGTTTGCCAACAAAAGACAGAAGACACTTTCCAAAATGGACTGCAAAACACACCCCCAAGCACAAGGCGTAGGTTAGTAGTGTTTCAACAGATACACAGATTTTAACTCCTAGAAACCCAGCATGCTGGCTGGGGAATTCTGGGAACTGAAGTCCACACATCTTCAAGTTGCTGAAGTTGGGAAAAGACTCATCTAGCATCATTTTTCAGTCATGTCATGCCAGTATGCTGACATTCTAGAAAGATGACTTTGCTTTGCTTTGAGTAATTTTGTTCTGGTTCAACCAAATTCTGTGTCAGTTCACTGATGGGCCAGCGGGAGAGTGGTATGTTGTCCTTTTCTCTTTTCTGCTCTTTCTCTCAAAAAGGTATTAATGAGTTGGCTGTTCTGAGGTGTTATGGGTGGGAAAAAAAAATAAAAACTTTCACCCTTATAGGAATCTAATTGAAAATTAGCTGGGTTCTTCCCCTTTCTCCCAGAAAAAGCCCTATCATCAGTAGATGTTTCTCACCATATAATTTGGGGCTTTTTAAAATAAAAATTAATCTCCTATCAGGCTGCTCTCGTATCAAATCATTCCTTCTTCAAACCTAGGTCAGGGCTGCTTCCCCAAGCCCTACTGACCATTGACACATGCAGGTCTTTTAGGACCCCGCTGAATACCTTGCCTTCAGGGCTACAACATTGTCTTTTAATGTAACTGTCCTCTCACCCAGGAGACTGAAAAGTCAGGGTTGTTTTTTTTTCCTCACTAGCCCCCTCAGAGATATCTGCTCTAACTTTATCACACCCATTTTAAAGATCACACTGGGCAAAGCAATTAAATGGTATGTACTTTACCTTTTGTCTGATCAACAACCACACAGCTCTAGTCCAGTGGCCAAGTTTCAGGCTAACGTATAACACCCCAACGTAACAGCTGATAAGTTTTGGTATTTATCAAAGTCAGCAACATATTAGCAGACTTTTAATGGATAATTAATTGGGGTCAAGATACTACTGGACATGTGCACAGTGGATGCTTTCTTTTCTGTTTGATGGCTGTTATGCGCCATTCTAACTCAGGACTCTGGTAAAATCTCAGAATTGACTGCGGGAGGGCAGATTCCAATTAAATAATCCCCCCCCCCCAAAAGTCCTTTAACTGCTATCAAATATTAATAGCTGTGACCAAAAGGATGCAAAAGAAAGAGAGGCTAATATTAGCTTCATTTAACCCATGTCAATTAGTTTTAAATATATTTTTAGCCCAGTTTCTCTTTTTTTTTGCCCTACAGTACGCCATCAAATACTTGAAACAGGTCTCCAGATACACACTCAACAGCCAACTGGCAATTTGAATTGCCTAGGTTAAAACAAAAACACTGGGTGAGATAGATCACCAATGTAATCCGGTCAAGCATCAAATGCTCCCTAGACTGGCAACTTTTCAAGCTTGGCAACATCTAAGATGTGTGGACTTCAGCTCCCAGAATTCCCCAACCAGCAAGAGATCCTGAAGCGAGAACTGAAATCCTCTTCTGATTAAGAAACTGGACCTCTAATTTCTCCCTTCAAGAACAGTGGATAAGAACCAGACTCAGCCAGGGATTACTAGAGATTTGTGTGACTAGGAGATCGGAGGGGGAGAGAGAGAAAAAGTTGAATAGAGCATTTTGGTGGCCTAACCAAAAGATCACCCAGGTTCCTCATTGCAAAACAGGAGGCTGCATTTCTGACGTACTCTGAAGGCAATAGGAGTGTCCCTAGAAGAGAAGCCAAGGGCACCATCTCCACTGGAGACAGAAAGATTCAACCAGCTAGGCCAGTGGGTTCTCAACCTGTGGGTCGGGACCCCATTGGGGTTGAATGACCATTTCATGGGGGTCGCCAAACAACGCAGTCTGCCATTTTTTCCCCCCTTTTCCTTAGCTGTGCTACTCCCTTTTATTCTATTGGCTTTTGAAAGCCAATAGAATAGACTCTCTTGAATAGAGTCTAATTCTATTGGCTTTCAAAAGCCAATAGGAATTGTCCAGGCTGTCTCTGCCCTGCTGAGCCTGCCAAAAGTCCCATTCTGCAAACGGTGCTCCACCATTTGAGTAGTCCTCGACTTACGACCGGTTGGGGGGGTCGCGGCATTAAAAAGGTTGAGAACCACTGAGCTAGGCCAAGGGTAGGCAACCTTGGCTCTTTTATGACTCGTGGACTTCAACTCCCAGAATTCCTGAGCCGGCCATGCTGAGGGGAAAAGGAGAGTTTCCAAGCTGAGCCATGCTGGCTCAGGAATTCTGGGAGTTGAAGTCCATGAGTCATAAAAGAGCCAAGGTTGCCTACCCCTGAGCTGGGCAGAACAGAATATAGAATGGAATAATTTAGCCAAGTGCAATTAGACACACAAGGAATCAGTCTTTTGATGTACATGGAAAGAAACAGAGTAATAACAATTATAAGTACGGCACCAATAATAATGAGTTGCTGTGGCAGCAAAATATCCACCATTTCCTTTGTTAATATCACTGGTATTAACAATACCAAATCGGCCTCTGGGTGCATGCCTCCTTAAGGAACCAATCCCAAACCAACTAAATCCCAGGATCCCTCCTATATGATTCCTTCTCCAATTTCAACCTACTTAAGCATCTTTTTCAGAGCTGGGATTAAGTGGTCATAAGCACACACCCTTTTGCATCAGCCTGAAGCCAAAACTGCCTCCCACTTCCTCTTCACTCAGGATCGCCAAACCAATTTATTTGAACGCACACTACTAAAGCCTTCTCTTTAAAAAAAAAAAAAGTTGGAAAACATTTGTGCTCTTCTTTAGCCACACGCTTAAGAAGGCAGAACAAGGAAGGAACCACAACATCCAACTCATGCTTTTGAAACTGCTCGTCAGCCTTTCCATGTAATCCAGAATTAGGTAGGAGACATATTTGTGAGTTTCAGGGCACCCAAGTATCAGAGCAGAAAAATATTGCGCTGACACATATAATTTTGGCCTTTACTTCTTCTCCGGAAGGGAGTGTTACTGCCATTTCTTGTGTAACACACTCCTACTGTATGCAAAAGTGTTAATAAGCTGATTTTTATCACCTTCAATTAATCTTACAGATGATGTTTTAAAGGATGAGAAGATTTAAACAGTCCATTTTCAATCCAAATGGAACAATCCAGAAAGAGGTATATGCATTGTAGGCTTGTGCTCGCCAAGCCTTTGTCAGGCCCAACAAACTCTCATAGCCAAGGACTAGAGATGGAATCTGTAATCCAAATTCTGAAGAAGTCAACCAAAGGGTTTGTCTCTGTGCCTGGTTCGAATGTTCAAACTGCCCACCATCATCATCACAACTAATTAAATCCCTGGAGATCCGACTTGGTTTGCTATTATTTCCAAGAGAAAAACAGCTGAATTAAATCCACTGCATCTGATACTGGCTGAAGTTATTCCACGAAAATCAGCATTATCCATGGAACCCCGGTTGAGGGGGACCACCGTTTGATCCTCTGGATTATACATGCACTGGCTGCCAAGCAGAAAGCTTAACAAACTTGGCTCTACAGCTCCAAACCGCATAAGGAATTTAGATTCTGGAAATCAGCAATCTGAGATAGACACCTGGGCTGAATACCAAAAGGAATCGTTACAAGTATGCCGGAAGGGACCTTATTAATTCTGATCCTGGTAAGGAGCAGTATTAACTTTTTGAGAATCGTTTAACTGGTCTTCGAGGATTGATTTGTCCTCCAAAATGGATTTGGTTTCTGGAGTCGAAATAGGAAGACGATCTCCACAATTACTGTTCCGGACACATCGATAGAGATCCCTGCAAGAAGTAAAGACAGGTGATGACCCTGAGTCTACATTCATGGGCACAGGCCTCATTCTTAATCCTTGATCCAGGGTGCCATAGCCTCAAGGGGGAACTGAGTACCTGCTATGTTTCTTTGAAGTCACAATAGCATGCTGAAGGGTGCCATCCGCACAACACAGGTGCACGTGGACGTGGCGTTTGCGGCAAAGCACAGGCTGAGTGATGCGGGGCCAGGGCTCCATTGACTCCCCTGATCCACGGGCCAGGATCAAGAAAAAAAATCTCTCGGTTTTCTGTGGAGGATTCTGAAGAGACACATACACATAGGAGAGAATGATCTTAGAAAGTTAGGCCCTTTTGGTCACAATCCAGGGGAGAAAAGCTAGCAGAAATATTAGACTGACACACTAATTGCTGATGTCATCTTTTTTTTCCAATAAGTCCAGAAAATGATCAGGAGACAACAACATATAACTTCTAATTGAAACTGACTGGAATGTAAACGCTGGGGGAAAAAGAAGGATGTGGGGGTAGGGTAGAAATTGGGACACCCCCCCCCCGAAAGTTTGACTTTTATCTATAAGCCAACAAAAAGATCTGAGTGGGGCAACTGGCCCTTAGGAATCCTGTAGCAATTTCTCATTCCCTTCATCCCAAGGTTTGCAGATAGTCTTCAGTATACTGCATGAGAGACTTATAGAGAACTACAACTCTCCCGCTTCCCAAACAGGATGGCTTTCATTGCAAGGGAATTGTAATTCAATCTATCTAAGTTAGGGAACGCTAAATGAAAACACCTTTATCTTTCTTCATTCATAAAGTCATTTACTAAGGTGGGTGGCCAAAGGAATTGAAATAAACAAACAGAGGTGCAAAATGGTGCAATTTGTCTCCAGAACTCAGAAATCTTCTCAGAAATAGGCTGATATGTGATTTTTTTTTTGTGCTGAGTCATGGTGGCGCAGTGGTTAGAATGCGGTACTGCAAGCTAACTCTGCCCACTGTCAGGAGTTCGATCCTGCCTGGCTCAAGGTTGACTCAGCCTTCCATCCTTCCAAGATCAGTAAATGATTGTTGAGAGCAATATGCTGATTTTGCGAACTGCTTAGAGGGCTGTAAAAGCACTATGGAGCAGTGCTAAGCAACCGGCACACAATTAACAACAGCTGCAGTGTCTCGTGGTCATGTCACTGCCATTTGGGACCTTCACTGATGGCTTCTGACAAGCAAAGTCAATGAGGAAACTGGCAATAAATAAAAGTTGCCAGTCAGGTCACACCATGCTTCATGACTGCCCTTGATTTGAGTAACAACCACAACCAGAATTGCCACTCTAAGTTGTGATCACATGATTATTAAAAAAAAAATTTATACAACTGTGTTGCTTAGTGATGGGAGTTCCCAGTCCCGATTACACTAGTTAACTGAGGACTACCTGTATTCCAGGACAATTGTTTCCAAATCTTTATGCATGTCAGGAATAACCACCGATTTTACTTTAGGCTTTACATATTTTGAGTTTCTGTTGGCAGTGTCTTTTATTCACTTTCCCTATGCTTGAATTGCTTTTCTTGTTCCACAGAATCCCACTTGCTTACCCAGAGGTTGTCCTTTCGTGCCCCACTAAACCCTAATCCGAAGACAAAATCCAAAGCTCTATTCAGACAACATTTCAGCAAAGAAATGGAGAGAACACACAGAACAAAAGCAAGCAGACATGGCCCAGGATAATGTTGCAAGATCAAATCTGGTTCGGTCCTGGGACGACCTCTAGTCTCGGTGACCAACCCAGATTCGATTTTAGAACAGACAGACTTGATCCAATTTGCTCAGACCCTTTTGTAGTATCCAGGGGGACCAAGACACATTAAGCACACAGGTTTATCACCCGATCTCTTCTCAAGGGACTGCAAGCAGGTGGCAGGCAGACTTACCCAAGACAAAGGTAGGGTTTCATACTGCTGGAGGAAGTTGCATGGCAAAGGATTATCCCGTAACAAGCGGGGACAGGGCAAGTGGTGCGGACACTAGGCAAGTAAAGGAGAGAAGTCAATTGCTATTATGTTTCAGTAATCCTGACCCTTGATGAATACAAGAATCCTCTTTTGTGCTTCAGCATATAAAATATGTGTATATCCCATTTCTGCTCCTGCTCACCAATCAAGTGTTGCAATGCTATGTGTTCTCCCACCCTCTATTTTGTTCTCCCATCAACATTTCTTCATATTCAGGGGTGCCGATATCCCAAAAATATGGTATAAATTCTGATCAAAAGTCAAAATGTGCATGTTTTCTGGATTCTCAATCAAATATCTGATTGAGAGTCAGAAAAGTAAGAATTCTGGCTTTAAAAAAAAAAAAACCCCATAGAAATATTTACCCAAGAGCACAAGAAGACTTGCTTGAAGTTCAACACAGCAGACTTCTCAGATCAGATATTCGTACATTCTAATGTAGCTTTGATAAATGTTAACTCTGGATAGAATTTAGTACTTACCGGAGCAAAAACATGAGCTGCTTCTTTTACTTTATCTGCCTCCTGAAAACAAAATGAAAAAAAAAAAAAGCTTCAATCTGTAAAAATGGTGACCCCCCCCCCACACTTTTCTATAACCTTAACATGGAGGCTCATAGACTATGATATACGATTTTTGAGTGACTACAACTTATTCAGAGCCTGGAGGATAAATAGAGATGGAAAGAAAAACAAATTATTTGAGAAATTAACAATTAAATTAAATTAACACTGCAGTAGAGAAAACCATCCGCTTAAAGGGGAGGGGCGGTGAATCCTGAAAGCTCACAGCTTATGCATGCTTCAGAATAAAGGCCACCCTCCCTGAAATTGAGGTAGGAGAGAAGAATCTATTCACTGCTCAATTAAATCAGGTTTGGAGAACCCGCATAAATATGTAGATGTAAAGAAGAACTGGAACAACTAAATGACACCTGTAATGCATGTGGGAGAGAACCAGAAATCAGATACTTATTAATTGTATTCCTGCTTTCAAAGAAACTTGGCAAACCATGTAAAATTATCCCCAACTGAGGGAACCATCTAATGCAGTGATGGCGAACCTTTAAAAGACTGAGTGCCCAAACTGCAACCCAAAACCCACTTATGCATCGTCGAGTGCCGGGTGGGTGTGGCCCACTGGGTGGGCGTGGCTGTGGTGGTAACGGCAGATTGGGTGGGACTAAAAAGTTCAATCAATCAATTCCAACTTTGCAAGATCTTTTTTTTTTCGTGAGAAGTTGAAATTGACTGAATGGACCTTTTTTTTTTTTTTTTGCACACAGCGGCGGAGGCCTAAAGCGAAAAGGTTTTATAAAACTCAGCTGAAGGCCTAGGACTGGGGCGACGGCGCACGTGCCCATAGAGAGGGCTCTGAGTGTCACCTCTGGCACCTGTGCCATAGGTTCGCCACCACTGATCTAATGAGACACCTCTGATGCATCATTATTCCTTTGCCACCATTTTGCAACCTTTCCCCCCCTCTTTTAAACTGAAGAAAAATGACTCACCTTCAAAACAACATCTCGGGCCTCCATAAGCATCTGATGTCCTTCTTTGGTTCCATTTTCAACCAGAACCTAGAAAGAAAATAAAAAAGGTGGGGGGAAAAATAGATAAAGGTGGGCCTGCAGACCAAATCAACTCGGGTTATCATTTGAAGTCTAAACTCTTCCTTCTTTGCAAATCCTGACCTTTTTTTTTCCTAATGCTGGTGTCCTTTTTCAAGGATTGAGAAGACTCTATTTCTTTCATGCAGTGCAAGACGGAATTCTATTGCTGCCTGCCTCTCCTGTTCCAATAATATCAAGGCCATACAGAGGATAAATCCTTGTATCATACCTAAAATCTTTTCTAACAAGAATGAGGACTCCAGTAACATGGAAAAAAGATTCAGAGGAGGGAAACTAAGAGAGTTAAGGAATTTAACTGCTGCAATACTTGGAAGTTTTTGATCTGGAAAGTTGAATGAAAGAAGGCATGGTGAAGGTATGCATGGTATGGGATAAAGTGGACAAGGAGAAGCTATTTTGGGTTTCCCAAAATACTAGAGCCAGAGGTTCACCCAGTGAAATTGAAACCTGAAATAATCAGGACAAAAGGATTTTTAAAAAAAAAAAAAAAAAGAAACACAACATGTAATTAAACATCATGACAAGATGCTAACTAACGGATTGGCTGGTTTCAAAAAAGGATTGGACCGATTCACGAAAATCGTGGGGATCAATGACTATTGGCCTTGATGGCAAAATGACCATCTTTTGAGAGACTAGTGGGCTTCTTTTGTGTGGTTCCATATTGATCACTGAGAGAACAGACGGTCAGAACAGATAAGCTAAGAGTCTGATCCAGAAGGGCAAAAAAACATGTTTACTGTATGTTCTTCAGGGAAATGGGTTCCTGATTTTATTTGTATAAAGGAAATCATTGTCTGCAGAGAGTGGAAAGGTTTCACTACAGCTAGTCCCCCATCCACAACAATGATTGGGACCAGAATTTTTTTTGCTAAGCAAAGAGGATGTTAAGTGAGGCAAGCCGAATTTAACTTCTTTTTTTTTTTTTTTGCCACAGTGGTTAAGCAAATCATATGGTTTTTAAGCAAATCCAGCTTGTTAGAAGCCGGCTGGGAAGATCAAAAATGGCAATCACATGACTCTGGGACGCTGCAACTATTGTAAATAAGTGTGAGGATTGGTTGTAAATCATTTTTTTTAGTGCCACTGTAACTTCGAACAGCTGCTAAACAATTGGTTGTGAATACCTACAAAGCAACCCAGGTATTTGCTGAGATGGGCAGCTACAGAAATCAGATAGATAGATAGATAGATAGATAGATAGATAGATAGATAGATAGATAGATAGATAGAGAGAGAGAGAGAGAGAGAGATAGATTCTTCCCACAGGTTCCTGGTGCACACATGTCTTCTGTTCTTCAGCACAAATTGAATCACTTCCAACACAGCATTTGAATGTGAGAAAGAAACACTGTCCTTCTATCACTTTGATTTTCAGGAACATCACATCATAGACACAAAGGAGGAGTTGCTATCACGATATAGCCCAGTGGTGGCGAACCTATGGCACGGGTGCCAGAGGCGGCACTCAGAGCCCTTTCTGTGGGCACATGTGCTGTCGCCCCAGTCCTAGGCCTTCAGTTGGGTTTTATAAAACCTTTTTGCTTTAGACCTCCGCTGCTATGTGCAAAAAGAAAAAAAAGGTTCAATCAATCAATTTCAACTTCTCGCGGAAAAAAAAAGATCTTGCAAAGTTAGAATTGATTGATTGTGAACTTTTTAGTCCCACCCAGTCTGCTGTTACCACTGCAGCCACACCCACCCAAGGGGCCACACCCACCCAAGGGGCCACACCTACCCGGCACCCGACGATGCATAAGTGGGTTTTGGGTTGCAGTTTGGGCACTCGATCTCTAAGAGGTTCACCATCACTGATATAGCCAATGCCCCTGTCCTCAATCTGCCTTTCTTGTAAGTGAAACTTTGAGGCAGCAGCACGAGGAACAGCATGAAGTGCAACCACCATCTAAAGAATGATGGCCAAATTTCATGCAGCTAGCAGCACTCAACAGCATGTGAAAAGAGGACTTGGGGGCAAATAGCGATCAACAGGCTGCCATCACTCAACCGACAAAAGTCAACAAAAGAGCATTCCATGTGAACCAGGCAAAGTTTCAAGGCAGAGCAGAGAGTAACCATCTCACATCAACTGACTGAATCCAACCAGGCAATTCCTTACTAGAAAGTTGTTGGTTTTCTTCCATAGGTTAGTCACCGTTGCCATCCTCCGAGCATAAGTTGGCAGGTCGTTGAGAGAGAAAGCGGATACCGTGAGATCAAATGTCATCTGTGGAAGGGAAGGGAAAATGGAAATTAACCCATTCTCCAATTACAAATTGTGTCTGAGAAAGCCAACTGATAGAAATCAGAGATCCTGGATTGGGGAGCCAAGTTTTAAAATCTGGATTCCAATACGCCATGTTCTCTTCATATATCTCACAGGCCAAATGTCAGGATCCAATAAAGATACTGGGAGAAGGTCTACATGCAGCACCCTTAGCAAATTAAAGGAAAGGTAGACAAATACATTTTTATTAAAAGAGTCTTCCTAGTAAGAGCTTCTCATTTTATCCAATCACTCTACATGTTGGCTGGTGAATTTTGGGAGTTAAAGTCCACATATTTTAAAGTTACCAAGTTTGAAAAACATTACTGTAGATCACTGTTTCTCAACCTTGACAATTTTAAGTCATGTGGACTTCAACTCACAGAATTCCACAGCCAACAATGCTGGCTGTGGAATTCTGGGAGTTGAAGTCCACATGCCTTAAAATTGTCAAGGCTGAGAAACACTGTTGTAGATGGTTGATTATTGGAAAAAATATTCTAACCATGAGGAAAAGTAAACATTGAAATAATTACCAATTCCCTTTCCTTTCTCATAATTCTTGCACTAAAGAGTGTGCTATTGGACTCCATGCTTCACATGGCTCTTCCAACTGTGCAATTATACGTACGTACACACAATCATAAATATATAATGGTAGATATATTTATTTAAAATATTTATATGAGGTAAATATGTCTATGTGCATTGGGAAACAGGTCTCTCTTTCATATAATGTATACAACCCAACCTTTTTCTTAATCCAAGCCAAGTGGATAGTTTCTAACTTTTTTCTAATACGGTAGTAAAACTTTCCAACCTATAAATTAATGCACCCAAATTAGACCAGTTTCAATTACTAAGCCACAATGGAATCAGGTGGAGATTGTAAATAAGTCAGGAAAGTATATTCTTGTGAGAGTTCTTGAAAGATTCCATAGGGAAAATGTTGCACTAAATATCCCCAGCCCAGAAATTAACAGGGACCTCAAGTGTTGGCATGGTATATTCATCACGTCTACTGGGACTCAATCTCTTTTGAATGCAGCTGGGCAAATTGTATGTACCTTTGGCCCAACGGGGGCAAACTGCCTGAAGTAGACACCAGGAAAGCAGAGCTCTTGGGTTTCAGAGATGCCTAGGAAAAAAACAAAGTAACAGGTAGATTCACAGGGAAAGGGGTTTGTGAATGGGAGAGGGGTAGAAATCCACAGGTGATCCTGAAGGGGACACAAGGAAACCACAAGTAAAGGTGGTGCACGGAACAAACCAGCCTTATATCTCAATCAGGAATATTAGCATTGCCAATTCTACCCAAGCGAAATGCTTTCTACTGAACATCCATCACAATAATATGCTTCCCATAAATAAAAAAAAGTTCTGAATGCTCAAACTAGAAGCTTATGGCAGGCTTGGAAGAGGCCATGAAATACCATGATGGCTCTCACCAGATTTCCAGTGGTTAGACAAGATAGATTACCCACATTGTGCTTAGCTCTGTCCTACCCAGATCTAGCTGGAAGCAGAATTGCACTGCTTCAATATAGATACCATATGGATACCATAGGTAATATGGTAATGTGTAATTATATATACCATATGCACAGCTTTTGCTGGTATACGAACTAGAGTTTTCTATGCTCTGCAGAAGCACAAGACACCTCTAATAAGTGAACTTTCTAGTTTAATGCTTTGGACTCTGCTCCTTTTTCTTCCTTTGATTTGCAATGGGTTAAAATATTTCTAGTTTCACCAGAAACTAAATGTTTATGGTGGAAGTTGACATTGTAGACAGCATCCAACTAGGGACGAAACCAAACTCAGAAATAGTACCGCAGGAAGAGTCTGCAGGAAATATCCAAGAAAAGATTATGACCCAGCTGTGCTAATCCATGGATTATTAAGCAAATTTATATGCCACCTGATACCCAGCAATTCTGGGAAGTACTATATGTGGATTTCGCTTTCTAAGGAGATACATTTCTTCATGAGTTTTCCCCAGTCACAAAGATAAAGCATTCACTCCTCCATAAACACAGCTGAATCGGATATCTCTTCCAAATGCAAAATTTAGGAGTATGTTTGTCAGGAAGAGAACAGTGTGATAAGCAACCACCTTGGGGGCCTAATTCAAAAGACGTTACCCTCCAGTCCAAAAATTAAAAAGGAAAACCTTTATGCTTGGAAAAATATAGCCTTAAGCTGAGAAAATAAAATAATCTATATATCTTCTTCGCATCTCACCTCGCATCAGCTTCTCTGCCAGGTCCAGCATGGGAACAGAGCAATCAACATTCATATATTCCTTCAAACTTTCGCCCCAAATGCTATGGGCTGCCCTAAGATGTAGAAAAAAAAAGCAAAGATTAGATAGATAGATAGATAGACAGATAGATAGATAGATAGATAATAGATAGATAGACAGACAGATAAAAGATGGATTTAGACAGATAAGACACTCAGACAGACAAAGTAGAATTTTAAGTATATGAAGACACATTACCTCCCCATCTCCCACCAGGTCCACTTCTATTGGCTTTCTCCAATGGAACACTACTTGTCATAAGCATATTGCTTGAACTTCTTTTTCGCTAGCCGTGTTCCCCCTCTTATACTGACTACAGAGACCTGAGTGCAGATTCCCCCCCCCCATTTTGGAAGCATTTCTACACATGATCCTCTTCAAAATAAATGGGATGCTCCACGGCCAGGATGTTCCCATTTAGGAAAACTAGGATCCCTAACCCAAACTTGCTCAGTTCACATGTGCAATGGCTGACTAAGCAGCACTGAGCCCCTTCAAAAAAATTTTTACGGTGAAGCCATAGTCAACAAAAGATCGCCATCCCCTCTCTTTCCCTTGATTTTAAGGACCCACTCCCTCTATTAGGGAGATAAGCCACACTGCTGCCGCTGTGGAGAAAGGCTGTGTCTCTCTTCCAGGGGATTCTCACCAGCTGACAGCACCGGTACCCGAACCGAAATCTAGCAAAGTTTTGGGCTGGAAATCTGGTACTCGCTTCCGGATCTGAAGAGAACGAAGTTGCAGAGGAAAAGGGGTCACTTTCTCAGTGTGGAAGGACAGTATCATATTTGCCAAGCTTAATAAGGTAAGACATGATTCTGAAAACGACCTTAAGCTTTAAGTCGGGCAGAGATGCCATTCACTCATTTTCAAAAGAAAGAGAGGCTGCTGCAGTCAAGGCCCTGGTCATATCATCCAAATTTTAATAGCTAGAAACGAGCATCCACAGTAGAGGACAGGTTACCCTGGTTATTCATGGCCAAAACGAATGGGAGTATAGGAATATTTTGGACTTCTAGACCTTATACACCTAACTATAAAGCAACTGACTCCTTTCCTATCACATTTATACAGCTGAGTATAACCCTTAACCCTCAGCTAAATTTGGTTCTGGAACATGAATATGTATTTCAACAGTAATTTTGGCTTATCTGCAAGAATGCAGATCCAGCATTTGAAAATCAGTGGATGCACCCTAAAAATATCTACCTCTTTTTTTTTTTCCCCTAAAAAGGAGATAAAGGAAAGAAGCAACCTAGAACAAAGGAGAAAATTCCTAACAGTGAGAACAAATCACCTTCGGGAGTTGTGAGTGCCCCATCATTGGAAGCTTTTAAGAAGAGACTGGACAATCATTTGTCAGAAATAGTATAGGTCAGTGATGGCAAACCTACGGCACGCGTGCCAGAGGCGGCACTCAGAGCCCTCTCTGTGGGCACACCTGCCGCTGCCAGCTCGCGCAGGTCCATTAGGCCACCACTGACGCCCAGAGCGGCAGCCCCACCCAGCACAAAGGAGGCGAAGCAGCTAGCTAGCAAGCTCAAGTAGAGGTGGTAGAGCAGGCCCCCATGTGCTCATTGGCCTCTGTGCACGGGGGCTGATGGTGTCAGACAGCAGCTGTCCATGCCTCGCCTTGCCCTGCAGCAATGGCACCTCTGCCCTACCCCCTACCTCACCCCCGCAGGATGAGCCTTCTGCCCACTGCCACACCCACCAGAGACCCCAATCCGGCCCAGCCCCCAAAGGCATCCCCCCCACAAGCAATATCGAGGTAGTCACACCCACCCCAGCCATGCCCAGTCTGCCGTGACCACCACGCCCACGCCCACCCACCTGAGGGCAACACAATGTTGATGCGGCCCTGGCACTTTGTGATAAATAAGTGGGTTTTAGGTTGCGGTTTGGGCACTCGACCTCTAAAACGTTCGCCATCACTGGTATAGGTCTCCTGTGTGAGCAGGGGGTTGGACTAAATGTCCTCCAAGGTCCCTTCCAACTCTGTTACTCTTGCTGTTATACAACTGAGACATTAGCAATGAGCAAAGCTCAAATCCAAAAGAGCGACAGGATTCTAAGCCTGGCATTATCTCCAGGCTCCCTCCATGAAGTCCTGCTGGATTGTCTTCCCTACGTCATCTTGCCCACTGCACTCCAGAAGCTACAGCTGCAACTTACTTCTTGGAAAGCTCGGCTCACTGCTGCAAAGTTTGCATCCATTCGGGTGACCATGTACAGAAAGCTGAGCTCTTCAGTGTATCTTGAGAAAGAAAAATTGCAATTGTGGTCAGTGCAAAAACAGAAAGCTACACAAACACCACCCTCCCTCCCAGCTAAACAGAAGTCATCTATGGTCACGAGAATAGGCACCATAAAGTGGAGGCAAATAGCAGACATGTACAGAGCATAAAATGAAAAGCGATGTAGCTCTCATCCTGATGCTAAATACTTGGCTTTTCTCCCAGGCCTTGGAAGAGTGCTTCAGGAGCCCCTACCACTTTTGTTTCATGGTACTGTGTTTCCCCGAAAAGAAGACCCGGACTTTTTTTTTTTTGGCCTCCAAAAGAGGTACAGGTCTTATTTTGGGGGGGGGGGTGTCTTTTCCATGGTCTCGCGGCAGCGGTACTGACAGCCCTGCCCAGCCAGCCCACTTCTGTGACTGCTTGTCGCTGCTTGTGTGCGTCACCCCCGGCCTCCATTTCTCCATCAGAGGCCTCCCAGAAAGACCTCTACAGCCGAGAACCAAGCTATTGATTCAACCCATAGTTTGGTTCTTGGCTGTGGTGAAATGCAGGCCGGTGTTGATTCATGGGAGGCTTGGCTGCAACAGTAAGGGGTGTGGGGTGTGTGGGGCAGCTCCACTCCCGTACCCTAGCTTGATTTTTAGGCATGTGCCTCATCCCAAAACTAGGGTTTATTTTTGGGCTTATATTAGACCACTCCCAACAATCAAGCTAGGGTTTATTTTCAGGGTAGGTATTACTTTCGGGGAAATATGGTATATAGAAGCGGTTTGTATTTTTTTAAGCATAAACAGCCAAAAGGTGTTCTGAAATCAGGCAGAATATAAATAATCATAACACCAACACGAATGACCATAATAATAGGAAGAAACTATATGAAGAGAAAAGCTAACAGACCTTTATGATTCAAATAAATTAAAACAAGAAAGGTCAACTGAGTCATCCTCCAGAAATCAGGGTCCTGAGTTCTAGACACTCACTTCAACTCTTCCCAGTGGTAGGTGATTTTACGAAGAGCAGTCAAAACCTTTTGCTTCAGCTTCTCATCCCTTTCATCCAGGGATCTATCTAAGAAAGATGTATGAGAACATATACTGGGATTATTACATTTTCATCTCATCCTTTCTCAAGGACAGTGTAGTATACATCATCGCTCAGCCTCTTACCGGTCTATCTACACAATCAGCCCTGAGAGGTAGGATCAGGTAAGACTCAGTGATCAACCCAAGACCACTCAGCAGGATGGTGGTGGGAGTGGGGGGGTGGGTTGGAATTCTGGCCCCTCTATTCCTGTTTTTGGAGAAAATCCTGACTGAAAAATCAACTTTCCAACAGAATTTATTTTTATTTATTTGCTGGAGTCAGAGCCCAGCTTTTCTGCAGGGGCTCAGCAATTCCGTAAGATAAGCTGTCTTGACAGAGAGAAACTAGGCAAATATCTCCATGTATTTTGTCGACGTGAGGAAAGACTAGCATTCTAATATTTCGAATTCATTGGAATCCCATCTTTATAGAAAAAGACTGTCAAAAACAGCATTTTGTTGGAGATGCAATAAAGGATGGTGCTTCTTTAAAACATGTTTCTACAGCGTCCTATATTTGCCAAGTTTGGGGGAGAAAGAAGTTGACTGTATAAGTTGTGCAAAGTAGTTGATTATATAAATTTTGCCACAAAATCTAAAATTTTCAGAGAATAATATTCTTTAGAATTACAGGTAGTCCGTGACTGACAACCATTTGTTTAATGGTTGTTCAGAATTGCAACAGCATTGAAAAAAGTGACTTGTGACTGTTTTGCACTCTTACGGCCGTTGCGGCATCCCCATGTGCACAAGATCAAAATTCAGACGCTTGGCAACTGGCATGCATTTATGACAGTGGCACCATCCCTTGGTTATGTAATCACCATTTGTAACCTTCCCAGCTGGCTTCCAATAAGCAAAGTCAATGGATTCGCTTGATGACAGAATGATTCATTTAATAACTGCAGTGATTTGCTCAAGAACTATGGCAAGAAAGATCATAAAATGGGGCAAAACTCTTTAATAAGTGTCTTGCTTAGAAATGGAAAATTTGGGTTCAATTACAGTGTAAGTCACTGTATATAGGAAATGCATGGACAACGTAACAGATTCTCTGCGCACCTTCCTATGGCCAAAAAGCTAATATTGCAGCATTGGAAATATAAATGAATGGCTCAATTCACTCAACAGATTGAGGACATGATTGCACTTGTCACCTGTGAGCTGATTGCCTAGAGCAGGGGTGTCAAACTCAATTTCATTGAGGGCTGCATCAGCATTGCGGCTGCCCTCGGGGGGGCTGGTGAGTGTGGCCAGGGTAGGTGCAGCTATTGGGTGGGCATGGATGGAGTGGGTGTGGCCTACTGGGTGGGCATGGCCAGCTCTACATCATTTGCGTCAAGAGTGCCTGTGGGGGCCTGGGCAGGAGTGGGACAGATCTGAGGGTCTCTGGCAGAAGGGGGTGGGACCAGGGCAAGGGCCAAGGCATGGTCCACTGGAGGAGCCTCACTGTTCCTCTCAGGCCATGCGGGGGGGGGGGGGGCTTATGGAGGTAAGACTGAATGCGTTTCAGCATAGAGGGCCACCACAAAATTGTACATTGGCTCCCGGTTGGCCTAGGCCAGGGGCAAGGCAGCAGGGGCTGTTCCCTCACTGTTTCCAGGATGACTTCATGGGCCACATGAAACCACTTCGCGGGCCGCATCCGGCCCCTGGGCCTTGTATTTGACATGTCTGGCCTAGAGACATAGTCTTTGTATAAACAAGTATAAAGAAATACAAGACTCATTTATATAGAATTCAGATTAAAAAGACATAAAAATGTATTAAACATATATACATAAATGCTGTTTGCACTAGACAGTTATACATAGAATTGTAACTGTTTATTGATATAATGGTTTATCATATTATTTTGTAATATTTCTTTCCCCATTATTTCATATCTAACTATTCTGTAGTGGTGCAGAGCAATCAGAATGCAGTATTATAGGCTAACTCACTGCTCACTCCCAGGAGTTCGATTCTGACCAGCTCAGCCTTCTGAGGATGGTAAAATGAGAACTCAGAGTCGGAAGCAACATGCTAACTCTTTAACTGCTTAGAGAGGGCTGTAAAGCACTCTGAAGTGGTATATAAGTCTAAGTGCTATCACTATTCCTCAAGTTTTCTTTCAGTTCTCCCATCTCTTTTTTTAAAACTATCCTGTATATTTCTGATATCTTATTTTCAATAAAAAAATTAAAAAGTGTGGTTGCTCCGGTTTTCTGTCTATCATCCACACCCCACTTTCACCTTTCTGCTGGACCAGGACTTCTGCATCTTTCCTCAGCTTCTGTTCCAGGAGTTGTGCTTTTCTATTCAGATCCTTCAATTCTACTGGACGTTTGCGGCTCCAAAGGTAGTTGCTAAAAGACTCGGACTTCTTCTCCAGATCACGTATGAGGGATTCTGGGAGAAAGAACATGACTCATGACAGAAACCAAAGGAGTTGGGCTCTATGACAGCTATTGAACCTAAAAAGGATCCCAGAAGACAATGGTAAACCAATTCCATGTTGTTGCTAATGAAACTACATGGATATACATCCATAAAATTGTGCTCAGTGTAAGACTACCTTGATGGATGTCTTTTGCAACTGAATACATTTGGTACCTTGTGAGAGATGTACTGCATGAGAGGGACCAGATTAAGATTTAAATGAAAGAATAGAGAAATAATACTCTCCAAACTGAAAAAGTACGATCACGGAATTCATTTCAATTTCAGAAACAGCAGCATTTAAGCAAATCACAACGGAGATTAAGCAAACTCGTTGCCTGCAATGGACAGGGTTGTTTTGCCAGAAACTGGAACTACACACTAGCTTCTGGCAAAAAACATTGTAAATTGTGATCATGAGACTGCAATATGCTGGAAACAACCATAAATGTGGGACAGTGGCTAAGCACCAAAAATGTAATCACCTGATTGCTGGGGGGGGGAGCCATTGGAATTTCAATTATAATCTGAGTTGTAAAAGTACTTTTGGGGGGTCCATTGTAATGTTGAATGGTTGCTAAGCAACCAGTCATAAATCCAGGACCACCTGTAGCATACCTTCAACCAAGACACCAACTGATATACCCAGACAATCCAAACTTTATTGAGTTTTACTCACGGGCTACCCAAAAGGAAACTGCTTGCACTAATTCAGGCGGAAGCTTCAAACATTTGAGATGGAGGATGCCTGGGTGTTTTCGGTGAGGAACGTTGTTCAGGAAATTTGAAGAATTATCTACTTGAGAAACATTGGGAACAATGGTTGCCAACCTCTGAGCAAGGAGACAAGAAAGAAAAAATTAGAGCAGAGTTTTAAAATGTAATCACAGATGGCCAAATCTAAAAATGGCTCAAATCATGTAGGACTACAGGTAGTCCTCAACTTATGACCACAGTTGAACCCAAAATTTCTGTTGCTAAGCAAGACAGTTAAGTGAGTTTTGCCCCATTTTATGACCTTTCTTGCAACAGCTCTTTAGCGAATCACTGTAGTTGGTAAGTTAGTAACACGGTTGTTAAGTGAATCTGGCTTCCCCATTGACTTTGCTTGTCAGGTCGCAAAAGTTATCACATGACCCTGGGACACTGCAGTCATCATATGAGCCAGTTGTCAAGTGTCTGAATTTTGATCATGTGACCATGGGGATGCCACAACACTGGTAAGTGTAAAAAAAAAGTCATAAGTCATTTTTTTCAGTGTGCTTGTAACTTCAAATGGTCACTAAATGAAAGGTTGTTAAGTCAAGGACTACCTGTACAAGATTCTTTCTAAAGTGCAGCTGTCACAAGAATATGCACACTTTAATTTTCTGGCTTTCCAATGTGTCATACCGTATTTTCCGGCGTATAAGACGACTTTCTAAGCATGCAAATGGCTCTGAAGTCGGGGGTCGTCTTATACGCCGAGTCGTCTAATACGCTGGAAAATATGGTAGGTCACACATATTAACTTTGCTAAAATAGAAACAATGAACATTATTATTTGGCACTTTTGAAATCACAGCAAGTTACTGTAGGTGGTTCTATTTATGATTAGAGTATAACTGTATTCCTTGAATTAAAGCCAGCTAGCCACATTGCTATGTTTCTGGAACAAAAGCTAAAACTGATTCTTGTTCTCATAAGAAATTGCCTTTCTGGAATAATTCTTATTTAACAGGCAAAAGATTGGGGATAGGGTGAGAAATTGGGGCTGAAAATAGTTCATATCCAAATCTACTTATTAACTATTAAGACTTCTGAAGTTATGAAAAGAATAATTACTCCTTGAAAGCACTGAATGGCAAAATATTTATTCAAAACGTTTACTACAGCCTTTATTTGGATCTGAAGCATTAATAGCCTTGGACATACCAATGATCTTATTTTTATTATTTCAAGTTACATAGCCCTCCACCTCAAATTCACGTCTCTAGGTAGCTAACACCAATCAAAATCTATGTTGAGCATCTTAGGGAGGTTTTTTTTTTTTCAAGAGGCTGTACCAACTACTCAGTTTTATGAATTGAAGGATCAATTTTAATATTAGACTATAATTGAAAACATACCATTAATATACTTTTTTATATTTCATATTTCTTAACCACCCATCTGCCTCAAGACGCATGGCATATAACTAAGTCCAAAAGAACATTAGAATAAGATTGCTGGTAGAAATATGGGATTAACATATTTCACAGCTCTTACATTTAATTCTGAGCCCTTTATGATTACCCTCAACATCGTTCAGATATGTATTTATTTATTTTTACAAATAACTCAGGATGGCAAACATCCAACACACCTTCCACCTCCTATTTTCCCCATAACAACCCTGGGAGGTGAGCTAGGCTGGCTTTCATCCTAAGGAGGGACTAGAACTCACTGTCTCCCAGTTTCTAGTAGTTCTCATGAAACTATTAATAATTATAATGAATAATTATTTAATACATTAATATCCCAACTTTTCTCTAAAAAGAACAGACGTGAACCAGATTTCCATGGCCGATTTGCTTTCAAATTGGGGGTCTCCCCACCTCTCAGCCATCACTTCCAAACTAGCGCCTTCACTGAAAGATGGACTAAAAAGCCCATCAGCCACAACCTCGCCTTATCTCACTACATCATTTTGCGGTAGAAATACCCACATGGTGTGTACTGCTTGTTCCCTTTTAACGGTACACACCAGCCCTAATTACCGGTAATTGGGACTAAGAGTCCCTGCTTTTGAATTAATTCGAATTGCATACCATTCGCTTTAATCCAGATTAAAATTCACTGGACCCCGCCCGTTCCCCCTTCGCCCGAGCAATTACAGTATTCATAACATAGAAGGACCAAACAGAGAGAGAGAGAGAAATAATAAAAAAGTCTCACTCTGACTATTAAAGAAGTAAAACCAGCGTGCGCGCCTACTACTCGTAAATGTTGCATTGCCGCCATCTTTAGAAGGAACTTGCTGCTCAACGCGCAGGCGCAATATTAGACCCGCCCCCTGGAAATTCATCGCGGCCGCCATCTTGGGAAGGGATCGAAGAAAGACGTAGAAAGGTTCCTGCGCGTCCATCTCGCTCTCATTGCCTTGCTACTTGGGGGAGGGGCGGCCAGAATATTTCCCGAACGGCTGATTGGTTGTCGAACCACCTTTGCGTCATCAACAAGCTTCCGCGGGCGGGCAAATGGATTTATTTGCATAAGGTTTCAGATTGGTTGATCCGATACTTTCAGGCCGTATATTCCGGGCCATCATTTGCAAGAAGCGCGCTATTTATTTCAGGCCGATTTGGAGAAAATTCGAAAAGTGTTTTTTTTCTTCAGCAGATGTGCACGAAGGAAACGGGAGGGGGGCAGGAAATATCAGTTTCTCTCCCCCTCCTCGTTTTCTTTGCATCTGGGAGGAAGAAGGACTCTTTTTGAAATAATTCAAGATAATAATAAATTTTAAAAAGGAAACAAAATGGATCCAGGAAACTACAGACCTATCAGCCTGACCTCAATACCTGGGAAGATCTTTGATGAAAGTTAGCCCAGAGAAGAAATATTAAAAAGGGCAGAAAAATATATTTTTCCTCAAAAGGACTTTTTAAAACCAAACCTGGCCCCAAATCTATCTCTCTGCCCCAAGCAAGACTTTAACCCTATACAAATGCAGATGTAAAACAATCAGAAAGTTGAAGCCAGAGTAATCAAGAAGACAAAAGAGAAGATCTGCTTAACCCACCCAAACTCTAGGAATCAGCCCCATCACCTGGGAAGCAGGATATGATAATAGAATTAAACCACAGATATCAAGGCCTAGATAAACACTCAGAAACAGCCTCAAGGTTCATGCCACAGGAACAGGAAACTTCCAAACAAAAGGCTAGGGGGGTATAAAACCTACTGCCCATGTGCTCCCCCTCTCTCTTCTCTCCTGCTCTCCTTCTCTCCTCTGTATTTTCCTGAAGACCATCTTTCTGCAATAAACTGTCTCAAAATTCCCAAAGCAGTCACCATGTTTGCTTATTTATTCCCGGATGAACCAGGATGAAGACCTTACTTCTAACATCTTGGAAAAATTAATCAAGCAACAAATCAGTGAGCACCTAGAGCAGGCATGTGAAACTGCTGGCTGGATGCGGCACTCCAAAACTGTGCAATGGGGGAAAAAGTCATGACACATTGCGTGACATCACGTGATGTCATGACTTTGACATGCCTGACCTGGAGGCAAACAGTCATTACGAAAAGCCAATGTGGGTTTGTCAAAAACAGATCATGCCAGACAAATCTTATTTCATTCTTTGACCAGGTGACAAAATTAGTGGACCAGAGGAATGCTGTGGATATAATTTACTTGGACTTCAGTAAGGCATTTGATAAAATAGACCACAACCTACTACTTGATAAGATAGAAAAATGTGGGTTAGACAGCATCACCACCAGATGGATTCGTAGCTGGCTGGCTGGCCATACTTAGCATGTGGTCCTCAATCGAATTGCATCTACATGTAGGGAAATGTGTAGTGGGGTGCCCCAGGGCTCTGTTCTGGGCCCAGTGTTCTTCAACATCTTCATCAACGATTTGGATTAGGGATAGATGGGGAACTCATCAAATTTGCAGGTGACACCAAGCTGGCAGGAATAGCTAACACCCCAGAAGATGGGCTTAAGATACAGAAAGATCTTGACAGACTTGAACATTGGGTGTTATCTAACAAAATGAAATTAAATGGTGAAAAAAGTAAGGTTCTACATTTAGGCAAGAAAAACCAAATGTACAGGTATAGTATAGGTGGTACCTTGCTCAATAGTAGCAACTGTGAGAGGGATCTTGGAGTCCTAGTGGACAAATCACTTAAATATGAGCCAGCAGTGCTAGGCTGCATTAACAGAGGGATAGAATCAAGATCATGTGAAGTGTTAATACAATTTTACAATGCCTTGGTAAGGCCACAATTGGAATACTGCATCCAGTTTTGGCCACCACGATGTGAAAAAGATGTTGAGACTCTACAAAGAGTACAGAAAATAGTAACAAAGATGATCAGGTGACTGGAGGCTAAAACATATAAAGGACGGTTGCTGGATTGGGTATGCCTAATGAAGAGAAGGATCTGGGGTGACATGATAGCAGTGTTCCAATATCTCAGGGACTGCCACAAAGAAGAGGGAGTCAAGCTATTCTCCAAAGTACCTGAAGACAGGACAAGAAGTAATGGATGGGAACTAATCAAGGAGAGAAGCAACTTAGAACTAAGGAGAAATTTCCTGACAGTTAGAACAATTAATTAGTGGAACAACCTGCCTCCAGAAGTTGTGAATGCTCCAATACTGGAAGTTTTAAAGAAGAGACTGGACAACCATTTGTCTGAAATGATATAGGGTCTCATGCTTGAATGGGGTTAGACTAGAAGACCTCCAAGGTCCTTTCCAACTTTATTATTATTGTTATCATTATCATTATTATTTAATAATATTTCAGTACTGAATTCCCCAGAGAGTGATTCACAAACTAGCCCTTTGATTGTAAGTGTTGTATGAAGCCACCCCATATAATATGAATTCCCCAAATTGTCTTGAGTCACCCAAGGTTTACTTAATTACAGCTAGCTTATTCAGAAACAGGCCTGGACTACATATAGGTAGTCCTCAACATACAACCACAATTAAGCCCAAAATTTATGTTGTTAAGTGAGTTTTGCTGGGAGAAATATCAACAACCTAAGATATGCAGATGATACCACTCTAATGGCAGAAAGTGAAGAGGAACTAAAGAGCCTCTTGATGTGGGTGAAGAAGGAGAGTGCCAAAGTTGGCTTGAAACTCAACATTAAGAAAACCAAAATCATGGTATCCGGCCCTCTCAATTCCTGGCAAATAGATGGGGAAGAAATGGAGGTAGTGACAGATTTTATTTTCCTGGGCACCAAGATCACCTCAGATGGGGACTGCAGCCAAGAAATTAAAAGACGCTTGCTCCTGGGGAGGAAAGCTATGGCAAAACTAGACAGCATACTAAAAAGCAGAGACATCACCCTGCCAACAAAAGTGCATATAGTCAAGGCCATGGTTTTCCCAGTTGCAATGTATGGATGTGAAAGTTGGACCATAAGAAAGGCTGAGCGCCAAAGAATTGAGGCCTTTGAACTATGGTGCTGGAGAAGACTCCTGCGAGTCCCTTGGACTGCAAGGCGTTCAAACCGGTCAGTCCTAGAAGAGATCAACCCCGACTGCTCTTTAGAAGGCCAGATCCTGAAGTTGAAACTCAAATACTTTGGCCACCTAATGAGAAGGAAGGACTCACTGGAGAAGAGCCTAATGCTGGGAAAGATTGAGGGCATTAGAAGAAGGGGATGACAGAGAATGAGGTGGCTGGATGGAGTCACTGAAGGCATGAACTTAAATGGACTCCAGAAGATGGTAGAGGACAGGAAGATCTGAAGGAACGTTGTCCATGGGGTCGCGATGGGTCGGACACGACTTCGCAATTAACAACAACACAATCTTTATTGCCACATTTGTTAAGTGAATCACTGCAGTTGTTAGTAACATGGTTGTTATGAATTGGCATTTCCCCCATTGACTTTGTTTGTCAGAAGGTTGCAAAAGGTGATCACATGACTCTGGGACACTGAAACCATCATAAATACAAGTCAGTTAATAACTATCTGAATTTCGATCATGTGATCATGGGGATGCTGCAATGGTCATAAGTCTGAAAAATGGACATAACTCATTTTTTCCAGTGCCGTTGTAACTTCAAACGGTCACTAAGTGAACTGTTGTAAGTTGAGGATTACCTGTACTCTGAATAATTAAATATTTCCATCACCTTGGACATGTTTTCTGGTTTATGTGCCTTTTGTCATGGAATCTAGCTAGAAAAAAATTAAAGGTAGAACCTGATTAATACCTGGATGGGAGACCACTAAGAAAAGCCCAGATCTGTAGTGTATACTGGGAAAGCAAAACAAAATTGTGGAAGAAGGCAACAGCATACTGTTTCCTGTATTGTTTCCAAGAAAACATGTTAAACTCTGGCCATTATAGATACGATCATTAGATGGCAGCAAAGAACTGGAGATTTGTGTATGTCTTAAGTTGTCCCCTGAATAATTGCAGCCTTGATAAAGACTATCTGCCTGATCTCTTCTTAAAAGTCTGTTCCCATGAACACAATTAAGCCTCTCTCGGTTAAAAACCTTGTAACTGCCTTCACACAACATGCTATCCTGGTTATGCTTCACAGTAGTTCACCTTTGGTGGTTTTGTGGAATGTAGGAACTTGAATGAATAGATTAGATCAACGCATTGTGCAAAACCAGAAAAATGGCTAATGCAGTATCAAGGTTAAGCCTGTGTACATGTAAGTTATGCTTTTGGAAAGAGGAGGTATGGATGGCAAAGGGCAAGGAATTCAGATTGAAAACCAGATTTGACCCAATGAGCTGCACCATCTGGTTTCCCAAAGCGATTGCATACCGTAAGCGTTGGAGGAGGTTGATGTAATCTGTTACTGTGGAACCTGCCATGCAATTAACTTGGCAGGCAGCTGCTTGAATGAGAGATTTATTTGCCAAGACTTAATCATCTGGAACTGAACAAAATCATGACCTGTCAAATCATGAAAACAATCTATGATATGAGCAGTTTAGAATTCCTGGTATGTGCATACAGCTAGAAAAATAAAAGAGATTTGTTTTTCCTCCAGTTATGCTTCTTATAATAGCTATTTCCTCTAAGAAAAAAGAGAGATCACAATCATTTCCATTATTTTATTTTATCAAAGATGCAAGCAAAACTGTGCTAAATGGCTATTGCAATTTCCCTATAGCTGAACCTTAACCTTTATGCCCAAAAGTAAGTCTGTATAATATTGTGTGGATTTATGTGTAGGGATCCATCAAAGAGTGCTTTCAGAAACAGGTGAGGCAATAATTAAGCAGCTAAATGGGGGCAGTTTCAGTAGAGCCAGTTTTGTTGTTCCAATAAATTGAGTAAAGCAGACATGTCAAACTAGCGACATCACATGACGTCGCACAATGTATCGTAACTTTTTCCTCATTGCCGGCAATGGGGTAGGCACGTTTTCATCATGATGCATCCGGCCCACGGGCTGGCAGTTTGACACCCCTGGGTAAAGAAACAGCATTGAACAGAAAGCTCCACCTCTTTGGGACATGCATTGTGATATCACTTACACAGTGGTGGGATTCAGCCAGTTCGTACCACTTCGGCAGAACCGGTAGCTAATTTTTTGTTGCCCAGGCCCAGAATGGACTTCTGGAAGTGGCATCCACACAGAGAACTGGTTGTTCACATATTTGAATCCCACCACTGCACTTACATATTAAAGGGGAGGAGCTGCAATGCAATGGTGCTTTTGTCATGTGGATGAATTCATGAGATTATGAAGTGTTGTATCACAATACAATATAGGTACAAAAGTGAAGCGAGGATTATCCATTGCATTGTGGTGACTCTATGAAATAACCCAACTGCCCAAGATATATTGCTGTAGTTTTGAGTGGAGCAACTCTACATGAAGTTGCTCTCTTCAAAATGGATAGGCCAGCCAGAAGAGTCACAGTTGATAAGAATTTGTTGCTGTCCTGTCTGAGACGAATAACGACACTGGCCTTGTGATGTTCCCTGCAGATTGCAGGTAGTGACAGAGAAGATGGCTTTGCTGAGCCGTAAAGCCCTCCGATAATGGGTCCCAGCCCAGCTGCAGATGTCCTTCAGCTGGTTGTGAGGAGCATGGACAAAGCTGTTGGTGGTCTTGCAGGGCTTGGTCATGCCCCTTTGTAGCATCATAACCATACAGTAATCCTGTCCTCCAACTTTGGTCTGGGGGAAGTCCTGGTGCTCCCTTAGAAACTTCTTGTGCTGAGGATTCTCAGAGAAGGTTTGGCTTGCAATCATACAAGATGCCATCAGCAGGAAGAACATCACAGTGCCCCATTTCTTCAGAACTAGAAGCATAGCTGATTTCAGATGGACCTGAAACCAGAGAAGAAAAGAAGGGGGATCAGGAAGAAGCTGTCTAATTTGTGACTGGCTAAAATAAAAACAATTCAAACAATCGTCCTTGAGACCTTCAACATGGCTGGTCATATCCCACCATAACAGTGTTGGTGTCACCAAGGTCATCATGTTCCGTCTGATAGGAGGACATTTGTGCAGATCAAAGATTAAAGGATATTTGTGCTTTCTTTAATATGTATAGTATTCTGAGATAATAAGCATGAATTAGTTTCTGGCACTGGGAAAAATGTCTGCTAATTTTGAGACAAGTTTTATGGTCTTTTCCAAAGTTGGTGCCTTCTGGATATTTTGAAGGTTAATTCATAGAACTTAGAATCATTGAACTGTGAAGTCAGAAGAGACAAGATTTATCTTCTTTAGACTGAACATCCTCAGTTCCTCCATAATTCCAAGACATGATAACATCTGGAAGGAAGCCACTTGAAAATAAGGATTTATATATGCAATAGAATAAATGATACAAAGGACCTTAAGTCTGAATTGGGTAACTTCTATTTTAGAATGTGATAGCAGAAGATTCTTTTTTAAAAAATTCCACTGTATGTCTATGGAGATTATCAGTCATCCAGCTCATAATTGTCTCAAAAGTGCTTTTTTTCTCTTTTTTTAAAGGCAACTGGACTGTTTTTTGAGGAAGAAGGAGAAGATGTTTCACTTCTCACCCAAGAAGCTTCAGCGCTTGTCATAACCGATGAAACTTTTTGGATGAGAAGCGAAACATCTTTTTCTTCTTCCACTATATAAATATCTACCAGTAGCAGCATTTAACTCACTTTGACCATTTTTGAAAAACTAAGAGGTGCCAGACCCCATTAGTGCAGGGTGAAGACCATCAGGAAATACTAAAGCTAGTAACCATAGTGATAAGTAGAAACAAACACACAAAAAGTACTGTGGTAAAGAACTTTAGTACAGGTAGTCCTCAACTAACAACCACAATTGAGCCCAAAATTTCCATTCCTAAGCAAGACATTTGTTAAGTGAACTTTGCCCCATTTTATGACCTTTCCTGCCACGCTTAATAATTGAATCACTGTTAAAGTATGGTTGGAAGAAATATTAGAGCAAGTGGTAGAACCAGAACTCTTTCTATTAGGTTTAACTACGCAAAAGCATGACAAAGGCGTACTTTATTTAATGCTACACATTTTAACGGCTTCCAGACTGGTTTTTGCTCAAAATTGGAGGAATAAGGGAACCCCTATGGAAGAAGAGATCCTGCATAAAATTTTATCGTGCTGAGATGGACAGGCTTACAATGATTATGAAAGACAAGACAGAACACGAATACTTCAAAATCTGGGGCAAATTTTACCGTTGGTATGAATTAAGGAGAACTGCTCGGACTTCAAGTTAATGGTAGAATTAAAAGATATATATAACTGTACATATAATTGTATATATAATTGTATTGTATAGAAGATGAGGCTTATATAGAGAACGATGTATTAAGCTTTTGTACCATGATAGGAACTGATAGGAAAATTCATTCTGGAATGTCATGTTTGTCCATTGTTGTTTTAATTGTATTATGAATAAAAATATTTAATAAAAAATAATAATAATTGAATCACTGCAGTTATTAAGTTAGTAACACGTTTGTTAAGTGAGTCTGGTTTACTCCATTGACTTTGCTTGTCAAAAGGTCGCAAAAGGTGATCACATGACTGAAGGACAATACAACCATCATAAATATGAGTCAGTTGCCAAGTGTCTGAATTTTGATCACGTGACCGTGGGGATGCTGCAACAATGAAAAGCAGTCATAAGTCAGTTGTATCAACTCCGTTGTAACTTTGAACAGTCACTAAATGAATTTGTCATGGTTCCGATAGATGAGACCAGAAGAAAATAATAACTCTGAGACAACTGCATTCCTCAAGGAATACTTTTAATGGCTACACAGTATCAGCATGGTCAAAGGTTCCCTCCCCCCAAGGTTACAAAGTAACAAGTTGAACTTCCCACCCCATAATATGTCATAAATCACAATCCCCAATTACCATAGTTTCCGGCATATAAGATGACTTTCTAAAGCATTCAAATCGGCTCCGAAGTCGGAGGTCGTCTTATACGTTGAGTCGTCTTATACGCTGAAAATTACGGTAGTTTCCAGCGTATAAGATGACTTTCTAGGCATGCAACTCATCTCTGAAGTCGGGGGTCATCTTATAATAATAATAATAATAATAGTAAAGTTGGAAGGGACCTTGGAGATCATCTAGTCCAACCCCCTGCTCGGGCAGGAAACCCTACACCATTTTGGACAAATGGCTGTCCAGTCTCTTCTTAAAAACTTCCAGTGTTGGAGCATTTACTGCTTCTGGAGGCAAGCTGTTCCACTGATTAATTGTTCTCACTGTCAGGAAGTTTCTCCTTAGTTCTAGGTTGCTTCTCTCCTTGATTAGTTTCCACCCGTTGCTTCTTGTCCTGCCTTCAGGTGCTTTGGAGAATAGCTTAATTCCCTCTTCTTTATGGCAGCCCCTGAGATATTGGAACACTGCTATCATGTCCCCCCTTGTCCTTCTCTTCGTTAAACTAGACATACCCAATTCTAGCAACCGTTCCTTATATGTTTTAGCCTCCAGTCCCCTAATCATCTTTGTTGCTCTTCTCTGTACTCTTTCTAGAGTCTCAACATCTTTTTTACATCGTGGTGACCAAAACTGGATGCAGTATTCCAAGTGTGGCCTTACCAAGGCATTGTAAGAGTGGTATTAATACTTCACGTGATCTTGATTCTATCCCTCTGTTAATGCAGCCTAGCACTGTGTTGGCCTTTTTGGCAGCTGCAGCACACTGCTGGCTCATATTTAAGTGATTGTCTACTAGGACTCCGAGGTCCCTCTCACAGTTACGACTATTGAGCATGGTGCCACCTATGCTATACTTGTGCATTTGGTTTTTCTTGCCTAAATGTAGAACCTTGCTTTTTTCACCATTGAATTTCATTTTGTTAGTTAGTGCCCAGTGTTCAAGTCTGTCCAGATCCTTATACTTCGAGTCGTCTTATATGCTGGAAATTACGGTAGTTTCCGTTGTATAAGATGACTTTCTAGGCATGCAATTCAGCTCTGAAGTCGGGGGTCGTCTTATAGGCCGGAAATTACGGTATCTACTTTGGGGGGCTTTCTAATGGAAACTCCAGCCCGCCAAATCTTAGGTAGCTTGACCTTGGTTCCCACAGGAAAGTATTTGTTATGACTAAACTAAAAAGCACATCTCCCTCCTCTCACTGCTGTAGCAACCGAAAATGAGCTGAAGATGACTGTGGCCAGGATCATTTGAAGGTTTGACAGAATTGTAAGTTGAGAACATGGTCTTCACCCTGCCTTTTACCTTTTAATGCAAATGTCTTTCTAATTTAATTCTTGTTTATGTCTGTCTTTTTCTGAAGTAGCATTTTTATATGGTTTTTAAATTTTTGATTGTACACTGCCCTGAGTCATTCTGTGAGTGAAATGAATGATATCTAAATTTTACAAATAACATAAACTGAATTTGAATTTAAAGTGTCTTAACTTCGGGACACGGGCTGTGCACAGTAGAAGAAAAGCAAACCAGGGTGAAAAAGGTAGCTTCACCTATTTTGATTTATTTCTTGCATCGTATTTCTCAGGCACTTGAAAAGCAGGGAGACTATTTTAATAGTACCAATTTCTTTCGACACAGTGAATAACTACAGTTAACACAGAACGCAGCTCGCGCTGATGTAAGAGATCTCGTGTCCACTTTTCTGTTAGATTCATCCAAGACAAGTTGAAACTAGTACTGTGCATGCTTGGTTGGGCACCAACCCTTGCAAAATTAATTGCAAAAGTCCTGCTTTTAAATTAACACTGTTGCAGTAAAGCCAAGAGGAAGTCATTTACCAAAAGTGCAAAAAAAATGTCTTTAGCATGGAAAGTACTATCTTTGAATGCAGGGTGCATGTTTCAAGGAGAAAAATCTGAGGATAGCAACCAGTTTCTGTGACATTTCTCCTGGGTGCCCTGATCCATTTTTGCTGCAAAATAAGTCTGCCCTTGCATTTTCCTCATGAACATTTTATTATAGTCTTAAACTAAGAGTCAAATGTAAGAATTATTTGTATATAAAAAGAAGTCAGAAGTCATTCTTTATATCTGTTTCTTTTCTTTTTCTTTTTGTTTGTACTCTTTAAACATTTCTATCCTTATTCTCTTTTTTTACTCTTTTTTACTTTTACAGCTTATGCTGTATTTTATGCATAAGCTTTGTAAAATTAATAAAATTATTTGATGGAACAAGTGCTTCCCCTTTATTTATTTTTATTTTTTTTTAATTTTTTAAATTTTTATTAAGTACAAAGAAAAAAAACGATTAAAAACATTGAACAAGGTAAATCGTCTTTGACTGACATCTCAGTCCATACATATTGTACATTAATTACATATAATATACCTATATACAACTATACATTTCTAGTCTCTATCTCAGTTTATCTCTTTACAGTGACCTCCATTTTTTCCCTCCATCTATAAAATTTATTCCATATTTGATAAAATTCTGTTTCTTCCTGATTTTTTAATCTTTTTGTTATCCTATCTAGTTCTACCCAATACATAATTTTCTTTATTAGTGCTTCCCCACTCGGTACTTCCATTGCTTTCCGCTTTTGAGCAAATAGTATCCTTGCTGCTGTGACCACATGGATAATTAAATATGTATCCTCTTTATTTACATTTTTCTCTAATATTCCTAACAGTAATGTCTCCGGTTTGTACTGAATGTTTTGCCTAGGCATTTCTATTGCCCAGTCCCAGACCATACGCCAATACACCTGTGCTTCTCTACAAGTCCACCATACATGAAAAAAGGTGAAAAGGGCTCCCCTTTAGATGCCTCATGGTGATTAATACTGGATGACAGCAGTGAACAAACAATTGGCTTGTCATGAAGCAGAAACAGATGGGGAAGCAGGGAAATTTTTTTAAGCTATTTGATTAATGAGGGTCCTTAGTGCTCTCTGAGCTTGGTTGTTTTCTTGCAGACGTTTCATTACCAAACTAGGTAACATCAATCCACTGATGATGTTACCTAGTTTGAGTAATGAAACATCTGCAAGAAAACAACCAAGCTTAGAGAGCACCGTTTCAACCCTGAGCTACAAATATTCCCCTTTATTAATCAAATAATTGCAATTGATTAATTGCAATCCTTAGCCTTCCCTCCAACCATTTGCTGCCGTCAACAGCATCCCTGTGGGATGGGTGGGACTGAGAGAGGAATTTGCCCAAATTAAGCTACCAAGCTCCTGGGTTGAGGGAAGCCTAGAATTGGAGTTTCCCCATTCCTGATCCATCAGCTTAACCATGACAGGACCCTGGCTGCTTCATGGACTAGACAGAAGAGATGTTTTTCCAAAAAGGCAAGCTATTCTCCAAAACGCCTGAAGGCAGGACAAGAAGCAACGGATGGAAACTAATCAAGGAGAGAAGCAACCTAGAACTAAGGAGAAACTTCCTGACAATTAGAACAATTAACCAGTGGAACAACCTGCCTCCAGAAGCGGTGAATGCTCCAACACTGGAAGCTTTTAAGAAGAGACTGGACAGCCATTTGTCTGAAATGGTGTAGGGTTTCCTGCCTGAGCAGGGGGTTGGACTTGATGACCTCCAAGGTCCCTTCCAACTTTATTATTATTATTATTATTGTTGTTGTTGTTGTTGTTGTTATGTGTTGTATGGATACATTTGCCATCTCCAGCTGCAAACACCTGGTAAGCATGAGAAATGGCCACAAAGAAAGAGATGAAACTCTTAAGACTTTGCAGCCATCTCTTCTTTATGTGCACTGGACTGTGTTTTTAATCTTGTTCTTTCTCTGAATATGTGAGCTGCCCAGTGTTGTTTGGGAGTAGGACAACACCTAAATCTAAATAAATAAAATCCGTAACAATGCTCCATTCATTATAAATAGTCTCTCCCTTCCTGGAAGCAAAGAAACTTTGAAACCATAATTGTGTTTCAGGTTTCGTTTCTATAGTCAGACTAAATGAAACTCGGTTTTAAATATGTGAAACAAAGACTTCTTCTTCTTCTTTTTTTTTTTTTGTTTGTCTTCATCATCTAACCTAGGGAGTGACGATTTAGTCCTCTCTACGTTCTTTTAAAGGACAGATCTACTCTGCCTATCCCTCTAGCCTGCCATGGCTTAGGAACACAAAACATCTGGAGAACATCTGCTCACTTTTTCTTGATTTTGAGTTCTCAGCCTGAAAACATCCCCTGTCCCTCCCCCCCCCCCAAAATACAGAACTCACCTCCAAGGAATCCACACAATTAGCAGTCAAGTCAAAGAATGCTTACATTTTCTATCACTTTCTGCACCTTTTTATACATCACTTGGCCAAGGGTTGGGGCAAGAATGCAGTGCTCACTTAGAACTGGACAGAACCAGTGGATGACATGTGGCTAAAGGAGGAGGAGGATTGGGATTAAGAGGAACAAATTATTCAAGGGTTCTTTCTTAATCACACATCGCCATTCTCTGAGTCTCAATTTTGTTTTCCGGCATGTGATTCTTGGTTTGTTTGACCTTTCAGCTGATGAAGAAATGCGAGCAATGACTCCCTTTTTAAGGAATTAAGTCAATACCTGCTGTTTATGACCAGGGCTACATATCAAGATGGAGAGGTTGAGAATTAAAGGATGTTTATTTGGTTTGCATTTGAATAAGAAGGTATGTAATTTGCATGTTCAAGCTGATGTCAACACCCAAATTCATGTGTCCTTCAAAATCAACACTTCTCCAAAATTTGCACCACAGTCTTCCCAATTACAGAAGGGAAAGATCTGTAAACAAAGATTAGTGGAAGTAACAAACCACTTATTACTTTAGCAATGCTTAGCAAAAGCTTTTACAAACCTGGTGCACATTAGAAGGAATTACAAACAAAAATGGGCATATTAGGAAATGACACAAAGAAAAATGTGTGCCCAATAAGAAGAATAATGCAGGCATGGGATTAATTAAATTTAAAGATGGAAAAAGAGAGAGCAATATAAATTCAAAGGGCAAAATGAAGGAGCATGGTTGGGAAGGAGTGTGGTGGCTGATGAAGTTAGGAGGCTGGACTGACAATTGCCAGGCTCTCATTCAAGACCCTGTTGCTGCTGTGGAACAGGGTGAGCTCCTATCATACACTCCAGCTCCTGCCAATACAGCAGTTTGAAAATGGGCAACCATGAGTAAGTAGATTAATGTGTACGACTTTGGTGGACAAATTAATGGGGACATGAAAGGAGCCCACAACTGGGTGTCCCCTTGGGCAACTGTGATGCCACCGTTCAATCCTTTCAACCCCCAAGCACTTTGGTGCTCCCAACACGACTATAGTAGTAGTGGGCAAAATTACAAAAATGAGGTAATGAAATTTACAGTCAGTCATTCCTACTAAGTGGGACAATTGTGATCATCAGAGCTAGAACAGGAGACTGCATTGCATTGAAAATGATTGTTTTTGGAAATGCAACAAAGCTAACATTTCTTTAAAATAAATATTTTGTAATTTTAAGTTATAATGTTTTCTTCTTGTTGTTGTGCCATATCCATTATCGGACGTTGGTGATCATGTTGGTGATCCTGTTTTTATCAGCAGCCGCACGAAAAAGTGCTGCTGAGCTTTGTCCAAACCAGTCCCTTAGATTTTGAAGCCATGATTTTTTTTTTCTGCCTGGACCTCGTTTGCCTTCAATCTTTTCCTGGAGGATTGAATGGAGTATGCCATATTTGTCTGGGTGTCACATCACATGTCTGAAATATTCTAACTTTCATTTTTAATTGTTTTGATGATTTTCCTTTGCTTTCCCAGGCAGCTTATCACCTCCTCATTTCTGATCTTCTCAACCCAGCTTATACATAACAGCTGCCTGTAAATCCACATTTCAAATGCTTCTAGTCTCTCCAGGTGGCCTTCTGTCAGAGACCAACTCTCTACTCCATAGAGCAGGATAGAAAAAAAAATAACATCTGACAAGTCTGATTTTCAACCTTAGGCTTATGTCGTGACTGCAGAAGACCTTTTTCATTTTGAAGAATGCTGTTCGAGCTTTCTCTACCCTTGTCTTTACTTCAGTGGTCATGTCCCAGCTTTCATGTAAATTGGAACCGAGATGCGTGATCCTTTCAACTTTTTCTAATGGTATTCCTTCCAAATTTATTGGTAAATTAATGGGTTATTTGCTGATGACCATGATCTTGGTTTTCGAGGTGTTAAGCTTCAAGCTTAACTCTGTTGATGAGGAACTGAAGGTCTTCATGCTAACTGGCAAGCAGAACTATATCATCAGCATATCTTAAACTGCTGATTCAAACATCGTTTACTTTGATGCCAGCATCCATGTTCTCCAATGCCTCGTTGAAGATTGACTTAGAGTAGATGTTGAACAACAGTGGAGACAGAATACATCCCTGTCTGACCCCTCTTTGTATTTCTGCATTAGCTGAGTATTTTTGGCCTAGTCTCACATTTGCTACCTGATGCCAATATAGATTTTTTTAATGATTTGGATGTCATCTAATCCCCCTTGTTTCAGGATTTCTAATTCTTGTGTCTTATTTCATCAGATGCTTTTTTCAAAATCAATGAAGCACATGTAAACACTGTGATTGACATCTCTACAACACTGTACAAGAACTTGAATGCTGAATAGCGCATCTTGTGTACCAAGATTGTTTCTGAAACCAAATTGTGTGTTACCTAGATGCTCCTCAATTTTGTTGTATATTCTTGTGTGAATTATTCTCAGGAATATTTTCAGGGCATGACTCATTAAGCTTATTGTTCTGTATTCAGTACACTTCTTTGCATTTATTTTTGGGGGTATTGTCACAAAGGTTGATTTTAGCCAATCATTTGGTATCTTTCCTATTTCATATATTCGATTGAAGAGCTGCAGTAAAAAATTATTCCCATTGTCTTCCAGCAATTTTAAAATTTCTACTGGGATATCCTCAGGTCCTATGGCTTTTCTTGTTTTTGCTATTTTTATTGCATGTTCAACCTCCTCCATAGTGATGTTTGGTCCAGTTGTTATACTTCCCGTGTCTATATCATCCCTAGTGTCCTCAAAAAGTTCTTCAATATATTCCTTCCATCTTTTTAGTTTTTTGTCTTCATCTAAGATAATTTCCCCCTCTTTGTCAACTAAGCTGTTGGTTTTCTTTTTGTAGAGGCCTGCTGCTTCTTTCACTTTTTTTGTGTAAATTGAAATTATCATGCATACATTCTGTCTCTTCTATTTCCTTGCATCTTTTTGCAAACCACTTTTCTTTTGCCAGTCGAATTTTTCTTCTAATTGTTTTCTGCAATTCATTGTATTTTTCTTTGTTTTTATTTTTATAAGGTCTTCTTTCATCCATGAGATGAAGAATTTCCTCCATCATCCACTCTTGTTTCTTGTGATACCTCCCTCTGTTTTGAATTTGTTACCTCTACTATTGCATTTTTAAATTTATGCCTGTTCACTTCAACATCTTCATCATTCAATTTGTTGGTTTCTCTTAAATGAATTTCTAGTTCTTCTTATATAATGTTTTGGGAAGATTAATTACATATATACATTTTTTTTTCCTTTGGAGCAACGTGAAATATTTTCAGATGTCCATTTTCTTTTGATCCACATATTTATTACTTAGGAGAAAGCTTGCTTTCAGATGTAGATTATTACACAGTTTATGGATGGTTATGATGATGTATGATCACCTTTTATTAAAATTATGACTTCACATTCATGTATGCCATGGTATCCCTCAAGGGAGAGTCAAAAAAGTCAAGATGGTGGCCCTGAGCAGATGATCAAAGATCCACTCTATCTTTAAAGTACACTTTAAAAGGGAAGGAGGTTTTTTTTTTTTTGTCAAGGTTGCGGTTCTATTGTAAACATCCCAACATATATGGCAGACATGTCAAACACAAGACCCGGGGGTGGATGCGGCCCGTGAAGTGGTTTCATGTGGCCTGCGAAGCCATCCTGGAAACAGTGAGGGACTGGCTCCCACTGTTTTAGCCCTGGCCCAGGCCATCCAGGAGCCAATATACAATTTTGTGGTGGCCATCTATGCTGAAACACATTCAGTCTTAGCTCCACAAGGCCATCTGGGAAACAGCAAGGGACCGGCCCCTGACGTGTCAGCCCCACCCCCTGGATGCATGCTGGGAAGGTGTCACCCTGTGTGAGGAATGAAGAAATGCACCATCGCCTGGAAGTGGCCAGCAAATGGCCCTGGCCTACTTCACATATCCGGCCTGATGGGCTCCAGAGGAGGGGTTTCAGCAGGCAGTGAGGCTTCTCCAGTGGACCATGCCTTGGCACTTGTCCCGGTCCCACCCCCTTCTGCCAGAGACCCTCAGATCTGTCCCACTCCTGCCCAGGCCACCACAGGCACCTTTGACACTAACGATGTAGAGCTGGCCATGCCCACCCAATAGGCCACACCTACTCTGTCCACACCCACCCAGTAGGCCACACCCACCCAGCCCCGAGGGCAACCGCAATGCTAATGCGGCCCTCAATGAAATTGAGATTGACACACCTGATGTATAGAAATGCATATTCTTTTGTATTGCATTCTCTCCCCCACCATCTTCTTTCTTTTCTCTTACAGCATTGTATTGCTTTTTTTCCTTTGTTCTATTTTATTAAATAAATCATTTAAAAAAAAACAACCAGGATGATTTTCCTAAAATGTCTCGATTCTTTAGTCACATGGAAGGGGGACTGAAAGGGAGGTTGTAAAAGACCACCATATTTCTACATGAAAACCACTTCTTTGTTGGGATAATTTTGCAACCCATGGAAGACAAACTACAGCACTTATAAAGCTCCTGGGTGATTTCAGCATTTGGCTGTGTGTTCACAGCCCATGTGAATTGGACATGCCTTCAGTGAAAGGCGGTCATGAATGATTGGAAAAATGTGAGTTTTCTTTCCTTGGCTGAGCTGCTTGACATCTCAAAAAATAGGGTGTGTGTGTGAGTTGAATAGAGTCTTCCCGTGAAAAAAAAGGCACAGAGGGAATTCCTGAAGGATAAGTCATTTCAGAGTATTTGTGTCAGGTTGCACAAAAGGATCAGGTGTGGAATCATCTGACAACCAGCACTTGGCTTAATTTCAAAATCTTCAGCAAGAGATCAGGTTAAGCATCTCTAGAATAAAGTTTTCCAAAGTATGAGGGTGCCTCCCTTAGGGAGGTGCAGGCAGAGTCTAGAAGAGGTGCGAAGAACCTTCAATTATACATTATTACAATAAAACCTTCTTTTTCAATGTTTTTATTATATTTCTTCATTGTT